ACCTGGATATACTGGCGTAAACAATGGCTTTTTATATGATGAGGCAGTTCTAATTTAAGATCAATGCTTCATCTGTTTTCTTTGTAACTCTTACTAGTATTAGCACTAATGCACAGTCTGGGCATATTTCCATGGACTGCCTTTTGGCCTTCGGCGTGTTAGAAATGGTGAACAGCAGCGAACATATTCCACCTGGGGAAGTTTCGCTTGCTGCTGCGTAATTTTGCACTTATTTTTAAAATGTTGTTGGGCCTGTCTTTGCTTTGTGCCGCTGAGAGACTGAGAACAGCACTAATTTGAATTGTCTGGCAAAAGCAGAGTCATGTAAGTGCCAGTGTTCACTCGAAAGGCATTCAGAGACGGCAGTTTCTAATGCCCAGGCTCAGTGCGAAGGAGATGATGACACACTGCCTTATAATTAAGTCAGCGGGAGTCAGAAGCACTATTTGTTAACCATGGTCTTCTAGAGTCTCCAGTTTTTCAATGAATAAACAATCCCCTTTCAGCACAAAATAATTTGCTTTACCAAAGCTGATACCTATCATAGCCAACCATCCATGAAATCCTACAATTAAGGTCACATGCTTGCTCTGTCACGACTTGTCTGCACTCAGGTGATTATGTATGGGGTTCTAGGTCAAAGCAGGGTTCAGATAAATTTTAACGTGATACAGCCAGACCTGACATCATACAAAAGGGGTCTTTAGACCCAGAACAAAATTATTTTCTATAGTCTGTGAAGCATTCACTTAGAAATAACTGAGCTTTCATTAAAAGTCAAACGGGTTTCAAAGTCAGAACTAACTGGTTTACATAGAATATTTAAATTTTAAGTCCTTGTTTAAAATAAAGTTATCAGAAATTAAATATACACCTCAAGTTAGTTTATAGAACTTAACATGATGCAATTTTAGCATCTACTAAATAATCAAATTTTCAATCTTTCACAACATACTAATAAAGGTACTAGAAAAACTGGACTACCACACCAGAGATGTTACAGATGCACAAAATTCTGACAGGGAGAGCCCAGATCAGGAGTGGTTTTCTTTAGGAAACAATGCTACTAAAAATATGGGAACAGAAGTAATTTAAAATGTTCAAGATGTAGCAAATAGACAACTGACTCCAAATTGCCATTTAGTATGCTTTGTATTATAGGATATAAAAACTACTCTCATCTATAAAATGTTTAGCTGATATCCAAGACAATCAAAGCCTCCCATAATTAATATCCCACTCTTTTCTGGTTGTACCAAAAAATAAACTAACAGCAAATGATTTCACTTCTTTAAAAAAAGCACTGACACACAAAAAAATGGGATGTTGTAAAATTTCCTCCTTCTTAAAAATGTTTCTAGAGCTACTAAAAATTTACAGAAGGCAAATTCAGGTGTATTCATACATAGAAATATACTCAGCAAGCAAAAGTAATCAAATAATAATATATACAAAAACATGGCAGCCCGTGTTGATAAAAATATTCCTCTGGATTGTACAAGAAGGGAGACAGGGACCACGCTAAGACATGGTCTATGATATTTCAGACTTGGCTTTCTCTCTTGCTTCATCTGAGGCTGGCCTCCCCTGGATTTGAATTTCTCCCTTTTCTGCAGGTAGAAAATCTTCGTTAGGTTCCTGGTCAGCCACTTTGGCCTGCTTTTCCTTTGCTCTCCTTTTCTTTTTTGCTTGCACTTTTTTTGTCTGCAGATTATTTCTTTTGCTGCCTTTTTTGGTTTTGTTTCCACTTTTGCAGGAACAGGTTTGGCTGACAACCTTGCTGACTTCCTCTTGGGCTCCTCTTTGGCAGAGCGAGCCTTTCTCTTGGGTTTCCTGGTGGGAGGGTGGGGTGGCGCGTGCGGGGTGGCGCGTGCTGGGTGCCTGAGGGCCATGGGTGCCTAGTGGCTTCTCGAACCTGGGCTGCCTGGCTGCTGCCACTTCTCTCCCACCCAAGCTTCTTGGACCTACGATGGGGCCAGTGGGAGCTTTGCCTGGCTTCTTTCAGAACCAAAATGATTTTAAGATTCACCATGTTTTTCTGTATATTATTATTTGATTCCTTTTGCTTGCTGAGTAGTATGTCTGTATATGAATACACCTGAATTTGTTCATCTGCTCATCAACTGAGGGGCATGCTACCCTTTCCTAGTCACACCCATTCCCTTCCTTTCACACTCTCTAAGCCCTGGCAACCATTTATTCTCTAGCTTGACGTTCTTGTCTTTTTGAAAATGTTATGTAGAAATGGAATCATATAGTGTGTGACCATTTGAGATGGCTTTTTTCCTTTCTCTCAACACAATGCTCTTGAGATCCATTCACGTTGCTGCATGTATCAACAGTTCATTCCTTCTTTATTGCTGAGGCGTATGCCATGGCATGGATGGAACAGTTTGCTTAGCCTTCACCTATTATAGGACACCTTGTCCCCTTCCTGCCTCCAGTTCTTGGCTATTATAAATAAAACTTGTATAAATAAGACTTTTATATTTGAGGTGAGTTTCTTATAAGTAGCATATAGTTAGGTCATAATATATTTAGACATTTCCAGTTAATGTGATTATTGCTATGTTAGAACTTAAATCTGTCATTTTTGTTTTCAGTACGTTCTAATTTTTATTTTTTTAGACTTTATAAAGTATTTTTATTATTTTTTTAACTTGGTTATAAGTGTAATACATCATGATACTAAAATCTTTGTTTTCTTTTTCCTGACTTCTGTGGATCACCTGACTACTTCTTAAAATTCCATTTTGATTTATTTATAGTGTTTTGGGTGTACAGCTTAGTAGTTAGACAGTCATATACTTTACATATTTTTCCACCAATATTTCAAGAACCCAGCTTTATATGCTTTCTTAGTGGTTGTATTATATTCTATATTTTACCACACTTTACCGACATTTTACTGCTCTCAGTGAAGTGTAGAAACCTTACTTCCCTTTATGTTCTCCCATCCTATATAATAAAGAGCTAATATGCAAATGGTCATCATGCTCTCATGCTATCACAATCCATCACCAGGAGGCTGTGTGTGCAGGGAGGAGTGCACAGGTGGGCGGGGACTTGATATTACATGCGTGGTGTGGAGGTGAGACCCCTGGCTCTGGCCTACCTCTTTGGGGAAATCCATCAAGGAGCCCTGGATGGGTGGGCTGGGCCTACCTCTTTGGGGGTGATCGATCGTGGGGCTCCTGCACTGTGAGAGGGTACAGACCAGGCTGGGGGGACCCCTTCCCCAGAGCGGAAGAATTTTGTGCACTGGGTCTCTAGTTTAAAATATAATGGTCTTGCCCTGGCCAGTGTGGTTAATTGGTTGGATATCATCCTATATACCAAAAGGTGGTAGGTTTGGATTCCTGGCACATACCCAGGTTCTGGGTTCGATCCCCAATTGGAGTGCATGCAGGAGGCAACCAATCAGTTTTTCTTTCTCACATCAATGTTATTCTCTCTCTCTTCGTCTTTCTAAAACAAAACAAAACAATTGTTTTAACTATTTCTTCCACATATATTGAGAACCGCATCAACCATTAAGCAATTTAGAAAACTAAAGAGAAGAAAAGTCTATTTGTATTTACCCATATTTTCTGCTATTCCAAGATTCCTTCTCTTATAATTTATTTTCTTTTTAAGTATATTTTTATTGATTTCAGAGAGGAAGGGAGAGGGAGAGAGAGATAGAATCATCAATGATGACAAGGAATCATTGATTGGCTGCCTCCTTCATGTCCCATACTGGGGAATCAAGCCTGCAACCCAGGCATGTGTCCCAACAGGGAATCCAACACTCAACCACTGAGCCACACTGGCCGGGCCTATCATTTATTTTCTGTTTGAAAATTTTCCTTCAGTCATTTAGGAAATCTATAATGCATTTCAAATAAATTTTTGTGAATGATGTAAAGGCATAGAGATATCCAGTTATTCCAAAAGATGAAAGCCACTGCTAATGGATATAGTTTCTTTTTGGGGCGATTTTGTTCTAAAACTGATTGTGGTAATTGTACAAGTCTGAATAATATACTAAAAACTTTTAAATTATATACATTAAATAAAATTTAGATATTACACAGTGAATCAAAAAGCTGATCAAGTAATTAGTAGAATAAAAAAACAAAAACATAACTGTACACCAAATTGGCCCCTTCAGAAGACCTGGTTCTAATTATTATTTCTAAAAACATTCCCATCTTTCCTTCTAATACATGGTTGAAGCCAATGTATTTCAAAAAGGCTCACTGTTCTGACATATATGTTTGATATGTCAGAGCCCATTGTGGTGCAGATGAAGCAAAGCTGGAAATGTTAACCCTGTTTTCCTTGGCCAATTTAGCACTAGTGCCAATGCAAACCCAGTGCCATCTGATTCTCAAGCCCAATCCTGACTAAGGCCCTATTAGAAGTTTTATATAATGTGCCTGAGATGAAGATAGGAAGGAGTTTATAGCATTCACATCTCCCTACACCATTCTCACTGGATTTTACTAGATTATATACCTGGTTTCTGTCTGATCTCTTGCTTAGTCCTGATTAGGCCACCCAGTAGAAATGAGTCAGTGTTCTCAACCTCTTAGACTGGCATAGCCGATTCTTTCTCTAGGGGTTAGGCTGTACTTCTTATATTCCCAGGCACAAGCTCAAGTCCTCCCAAACTGGGAAGACTACAGGCTGGATTTCAGGCCCTGCCAGTACCTACTCTAGGTCAAACCTTCTTGGAGAACAAGCCCAAGTTTGCTCCTCTTCTTGGGAGATGATAATTTAGAGTCTGGCCACTTCACATGGGGGGCCCAGCCAATAGCCAGGTAAGCTGTCGTAGTTTCAGAAACCAACTAGGTTTCTCCTCCATTCCCAGGAATCCACTGCTGAGACCTCAGGAAGTCTTAGGGCTGACTCCATCACTTATGGCATGAAGTCATCTGGCACAGCTCTGCAATGCTCAACAAATGCTAGTTCTTTTCTTTCCTCATATCAAGTCAATTGAAGAATGCTCTACTCACCTGGTGCACACAGTCTAAGAACTGCAGGAAGACTGGAGTAAAACCACTTCCCTGACAGTTGAGGGTCAAGCTGCTCCGCTGATTGAATTTATGACCAAAAGAGAGCCACTCTTTTTCAACCAACATCCGGAAGCCTTCAAGTGTCCTATAAAAGGGGTCACTGAGTAACTGCACCAGGGATGTCACCTAAGACACAAGCAGATGGACACTTGTTATTTTCAGTCTGAAAAAAATCCTCTTGCTGAGTCAAAGCACTTCCTCTTGATGATAGCTAACTCACCAACAAAGTTACCTGGGCAGCAAACTTGTTCACTAACTGCTCCAGGACAGCCAATTAAATTAATCCCACAAACTTTCCAGTAAAAATGAAAAGTCAAATGCATTTTGGCTACACGTTTTCTTTCAGAAAATCTGGACTTTAGTCCTTACCTGGCTAGTCTGCCGACTGTGACTTTCTTCTAGGTTAATTAATGAGACCAGGGGATCAGTTCAAACCTACAGATACTTTCTGGCAGGAGTAGATTAATGTCTTACTATAGTTCACATTCAGACCTTTCCTTTTCACTCTGTAGTAAGTAAGGGAAGCAGGGAAAGGACTGACAAAATATGGGAAGGACGGCCCATGTCTCACTCTGCAGGCCAAAGAGAACCACGCACATGCCTGCCCGGTGCACCTGTGGTGTGGCACCCGACGCCCGAGCCAGAACTGCAGGCTATGTAAGGCCTGGGAGCCCACGCACTGAGTTTTCTGATGGACACCAGGGGGTGTTTCACACAGGACTTTTTCTGTCCATACAAATTAGTCAGAATTTAAAAACAAATGAACTGAAATACATATTCATACATGTACAACCAAATATATGAGAATATGTGTAAGAGTTTACTTGTGCTGTGATGTCCCAGCCTTCTTCCAAACAGACCAACACGGAGGAACCATTCTCCAGTACCTCGGACACCACCACGGCCAGCTGCATTATCCTGTGAAGCTGAGATGGGGAAGGAGCCCCGGTTAGAGCCAGGGCTTTCTGAGCACCCACAACGGACAGACTTGCTACCAGCCTTAGATAACCAAAAAGTTAGGGATAAAGTATTTGACCTAAACACGAATTTTAAATACTTAAAGTTATTTGTAAAAATAAAGATTAAGCAATGTGTTCAAGGGAACACATTCATGAAATGATGAAATGAATTTATGAAATAAATTTATCTTAAGTAATTTCCCCTGAAGTGGAATATCTTTAATTCCATAAAGTAGAAAGTCAGAGATTCTAAGCAGCCTCCCAACAGTTATTGGACTTAACATTTGTTTTTCTAGGATGACATAGTAAGTTCTATTTTGGTTACTCTTAATTTTTCTGGAATTAGATAGTGGGGATGTTTGCACAACTTAGTTATTATACTAAAAAACACTGAATTGTACACTTTAAAGAATGAATTTTATGATGAATGAATTAAATCTTTAAAAAGGACACTCTTATTTGTCTGTATGGGAAGAAAACTTATGCTTAGCTTTTAAAGCCAAGCCACTGACTCATAGTCTGAGCACAGCATATAGATTTCAAAGCCAAATATGCAACATTCTAGTTTTTAAAAATATTTTAATCACACTTGACATAATTTGCAGAACAAATCCAACTTTGAACTGAAGTAGAAAACTCCATATTTTAAATAGAGCTAGCTATTTTATTTATTTAGTAAAGACCCAATGCACAAAATTTGTGCAAGGGGTTTGGCCCTCGCAGCCCTGGCTTTGTTCAGAAGGTCGTCTGGAAGGTCATTCGGCTGTCCGGTCTAATTAGCATATTATGATTTTATTATTATAGATTTTTATTATTTTTATTTTTTTGAGCTAGCTATTTTAATCACAGGAATAAGACACACATTCTCTCCAGCACTGGGAAGCTCCTCACCCACTGTTCCTGAAGATAGCTATTTCCAGGCCTGAATTCTCTTGCTCTTCGCTCTTGCTCTGAATTAACTTTTGACATGCCAATATCTCAAGTAGAGCAATACTTTTTACTATTTTTTTTTTTTGAGGGGGGACCAAAACACAGAATATACCAGAAACACAGATAGGCTGGGTGGTGGGACCAGTTTGGGGCTGGGCTCATAACTTAGGGACAGAAGGGAGTATTGATCAGCTCCTTTTGTGGGTTCTCAAAGGATCTGGTATAGCATTCATAGTAACATACACTGATACAGATTTATGTATTATGTTTTTATTTAAAAATTTTAACTGGGGGGGAAGGGGGCGGGGGGAAGAGAGGAACATTGATGCATTCATTGGTTGTTTCTTTTATGTGCCCTGACTGGGAATGGAATCCATAACCTTGGCGTATTGGGACAAAGCTTTAACCTGCTGAGCTACCCAACCAGGGTTCATACCCTGATACAGGTTTATATGTGGCTATTTTTTTAAATTTTTATAGTTTAAGTACCTTAAAATATTAATAGTTACTGCTTTAGGTACTCACATCATTTTCTGGCTTTTTTTTTTTTTTTCTTTTAGTCCAACTTATTGTGGGAAACAACTATTTTTCCTCCTCAAGGGAGGCAGGAGACTTGGAGGCAGAGGGGCCGGGTGATAGAGGAACTCATGCGGGGGAAGCAGCAATGGCCACAGCATCAAGGGCCTAAAGACAAGGCTGAGGAGTAGTGCAGATATGTTCTTGGCCCAATGTCTGCATCAGTGTCTAAAACATGCATGTCATAAAGGTCTTTATGTGTGCTGGCATACCTACTTCTCCCTAATTTTGCAATAAGAGTTCAATGAAAACATCCCAAGCTTGACTTAGCTGAAGGAAGGATAAGTGGTTTTTCCTTAACCTTGGGGAGGCCTGAGGGCACCCAAAGTGCCTGCGGTGGCTGTTTTGGGAGGTTAATCTAAAATCTAGAGACATGGGCCAGGCAGAGACAAATGCAAGGTCAGACAGTAAGAGAGAAGGGCTCTTGGAGTTCTGGGCCCAGTCTGTTGACAACAGAGCAGGAGGCCTAAAAATATATGCTGATTAAATTTATTACATATAAAGAAGTTGCCATCTAAAAATAATGACCTCCTCCTTAGCACCCTATGGAGACCAAGTTTTCAATTCCAGAGAGATAAGAACCTGGGATGAAGAAGTCTACCTCTCATCTCCAATAGCATATGGGTTTCTTGAACTGAGAGGCTTTTATGGAGGTATCCAGTAAAGACAGATGGTGGGGTGTGGGGGAACACAATATTTCCCTCAAATATCAACTTTGTACATCCTTGAGGTCAAAGGTAAGTCGAGCCAGACATTACCTGTGGAAACCACTCGGAGTCTCCCAGAGCTTTCAGGAAGGTCACGTCTGAGTCAGTAGGAATGGTGCTTGGGACACAGGCCCTCATCAACTTTTTGAAACTGGCTTTCACTTGTCGGATGTCATGAAATTCAACGGGAACAAACTCACAATTTAAAGCAAATTCTAACTTAAAGTTCTGTGGATGAAGATGCAGAGAATTAGGCAAATGAAGTGTTATGGTAAAAGAGCAATGATTTCAACAGGGCAGTGCTTCAATGATATACAGTTATGGAGGCCAAGTAGTTGCAGAAGCTGCAATGGGTCAGGAAAATCAATCTGTGTGGCTAGGTATCCAGATTGCTGGAAAGTCATTCAGTGAGGCCTCCTGGTTTCACTTAGCTTGCTGTCATTCTGAGACCCTAAAGAGACTACTGGTAGGTGGGAACCTGATGGGCACTTATACTAGTAACATCACAGATAAGCCATTATAAAGCCATGAATATGGAAGTCTGGAGAGGACCAGTAATGTATGGACAGCATGGTTAATACAAAACTGCAAATGAAGTCTCCCGAGATGCACTGTGATGAAAAGGCAATATGCTGCTGAGGTTCCAGAACTCTACATATTTAAGTTTGTAGAAATACGCATATTTGTTTCTTATTAAGCTAGTAAAATAGTCATTAGAAAAATGAAAAGAAAAAAAAAAGTGAAGATAAACATTGAGAAGGAAATAAAAATTAGGCACTCTTTTAAAGTCATGTAGGTACTCCTTTAAAGGCAAAATAAAAAATTCTACACAGGCCGAAACCAGTTTGGCTCAGTGGATAGAGCATCAATCTGCAGACTGAAGGTTCCCCGGTTCGATTCCAGTCAAGGGCATGCACCTTGGTTGAGGGCACATCCCCAGCAGGAGATGTGCAGGAGGCAGCTGATCAATGTTTCTCTCTCATTATGTTTCTAACTCTCTATCTCTCTCTGTAAAAAATCAGTAAAATATATTTAAAAAATTCTACATAGTAAAACATGAAATGCTTTGTTGATTTCTAGCTTTGGGACAATATTTTTTCATGCATGACACGTGTCAAGTTATATTTATCATTTAAACCTTTAATCCATGTGGAATTTATCTTATGTGAGGTTGCATTTGTAGTTAAAGAATGCTTACCTGATGCACAATTGTATATTTTATTTTGATAACCTAGTCATCTAATTTTGAAGATTTTAAAATTCTAATTTCTTTTGCTAAAGAATGAATTAATTTTCTCATATTCTTCCCGCTTTACTCACATTCTACCCAAATGACACTACTGGGTCATCTGCTTTCTTAAGAGTAAAACTGCTTTCTGGATGCTGGTTGTACAACATGTGAATGTGTGTGATACTATGGACAAGAGGATAAATGTTATGTTATCTGTATTTACCAAAATTAAAATAAAATGCTGCAAGGATTTATTGTAGGACCCATGTTATATTTTGTATTGGTTATTTGAGAATACTTTTAAAACGACCTATTAAAGTTTTAAAGTAAAAAGCAAAAACTTCCAAATTAAAAAAATAGCATTTTGCCGAAACTGGTTTGGCTCAGTGGTAGAGCGTCGGTCTGCGGACTGGGAGGTCCCAGGTTCGATTCCGGTCAGGGGCATGTACGTTGGTTGCGGGCACATCCCCAGTAGGAGGTGTGCAAGAGGCAGCTGGTCGATGTTTCTCTCTCATTGACGTTTCTAGCTCGCTATCTCTCTCCCTTCCTCTCTGTGAAAAATCAATAAAATATATTTTAAAAAATAGCATTTCTAATATGTATCAAGAAAAAAAGTTTCTTTATCTCGGTAATTCCATTTTTAGGAGTAATTTAAATTGTAGAGAAAAAACCCTATTGAATCATATCTCAGTTAAAAATAATAATAAGCTATATGCTTGAAAATGTGACTGTAGTTTTATATATAGAAGATAAAGAAATGAAAACATTCAACAATATGGAATGTTACATAGTGATTAAAATAATTATAAAGAATATTATACAACATGGAAACATGCTATAGTTTGAATAAAGAACTTGGCTTATGCATGAGTTCTTTTCTACTAGTTATTTTTTTAAAAGTTAAAATATCATAGATAGCAAATAATTTACTTTTCGGGAGAACTACTTTCCTTTCCAACTATAAAGGAGGTAGGTATACCTATCTTATAAACCAGGAGTTACCAGCCATAGTGTTGAGACACTGTTATATCATAGGAACTTATTAGTAAGTATAAAGTATGTGAATTAGTAAATGAGACCAAGTCAAGATTATTTAGAGGAAGCCACTCTCACTTGCTTTCCTTGGGGTTTCCTCATTGGGAGGCAAGGAGTGGAGCTGCAGCTAGAGAGCACTGTGCTGGCCTGAACGTGGCTCAGGTTGGACAGATATGGACAGTGCTCCACACACACAATTACATAAACAAAAAGTAAAACCTGAATGGGACGTACAAAAATCCTAATAACTACTGTGCAAGGATGATGAGATTATGTTTTTAAAACTTTAATTCTTTATTGACAAAAGAAAGATCAGAAGGAATAAGAAAGACAGAAAGAAGAAGTGAAGGAGGAAGGAGAATAGGGTCCCAGTGGCTAGTCTTTCTTAGTCATATGTGCACAGCCACCCAGCTAATTTGAGGACTGATGTGCAGAGGCTTTGGCAGAGGTGAGCATTCAGGAGACAACCTTGGGGAGTGACTCAAATCATGAGTACGTGGTGTGCTGAAGGGCAGGGTGTGTACTCTGGGAGACACTGGTGCCAAGGGGGCTGTGCTGGATGCAACCCTGGGTTGCTGTTGAAAGGCGTCCCAACTGTTTTCTGGAGAGAAGTATCTGCTGTGTCAGAAGACACGTGTGCATATTTAAACACTGAGTATTACCCAGCAGTTTCACGCCTCCCACCCTACAGGCTGATGGCTGCAGCTGCCTCGGCAGTGGGAGAAGAGCTTGCCACCGAAAGGATGACTCAGCCACTGGCATCTTGAGGACCCAGCATGTGGGATCCTGCCCACAACCTCGGTCCACAGTTCAACCAAAGGTCTGTCTGACTGAGGTGCTGGACTAAACTCTGGGGGATTTTGTAATTAACCAATACTTTTATTCCCCCCACATCTGCCAATAGCAATGAACTTTATTTTGTGCTGGGCAAATAAAGGACTGAGGTACAGAGGATAAGGCAGAGGCGAGCACACAACCTTGGGGAGTGACTCCAATCATGAGTACATGTGTATACTCTGGGAGACACTGGTGCCAAGGGGACTGTGCTGGTTGCAAAATTGCAAAAACATTATTTGCTTTTGGAGATAGAGACTATCTTTATAATTTATAGGACCTGACATTGTGAAGCTCTTTAACATAATAATTAAAAAAATAAAGGGGAGCCCAGCTTGGCGTGGCTCAGTGGTTGAGCATCAACCTATGAACCAGGAGGTCACGGTTTGATTTCCAGTCTGGGCACATGCCTGGGTTGTGGGCTTGATTCCTAGTGTAGGGTGGGCAGGAGGCTGCCAATCAATGATTCTCTCTCATTATTGATGTTTCTATGTCTCTCTCCCTCTCCCTTCCTCTCTGAAATCAATAAAAATATATTTTAAAAAAATTAAAGGGGCTTAGCATCTAACAGTTTGAATGCTCTGACATATCTCAGCACACGTGCCTCTGTCTATACAGCTTTGTGAAGTTTCAAAAAAGGCAACTTAGGCCGGGACCGGTTTGGCTCAATGGATAGAGCGTCGGCTTGGGGACTGACGGGTCCCAGGTTCGATTCCGGTCAAGGGCATGTACCTTGGTTGCGGGCATATCCCCAGTAGGGGGTGTGCAAGAGGCAGCTGATCGATGACTCTCTCTCATCGATGTTTCTAACTCTCTATCTCTCTCCCTTCCTCTCTGTATAAAGTCAATAAAATATATTAAAAAAAAAAAAAAAAAAAAAAAAAAAAAAAAAAGGCAACTTAGAGAACACAGCCCAGCCTTCCCTCACGCCAGTGCATCGAGTGCCATCATCTTCTTCCCACTCTTCTGCCTCCTGGCAGCTTTCTTTGTCAACAGGTTTTCAATAGCAAAACCTTTTGTTTTGCCGTAGACACAGACTCCAGTGGGAAGCTGAACTAAGATAGTGGAAAAACAGACTGGATAAGCCTTATTATTTCTTTTTTTGTAGGTACACTTCCTAATATTCCTGATGTTTATGCTGATCTAGTTATAATTATGAAAAAATACTTCTTTTCATAGCTAATAAACATGCAAAGTATATATACCTACCTATCTAAGTTCATGTAGACATACATACATATATAATGAGCTAAGTGTTTTTAATATTATTAACTCCAGGTTAAGAATCCATGCTATAAAAAAAATATCCTAGAAAAGCTGATTTATGAGATGAGTTAAAACTGCCTCCAATTATCTATAAGGTTTCTAAATGAGAAAAAAAAAATCTTACCCTTAGCTGTGACTTTTCGCCAAATATATAAAGGGCTGGTTGGCGTTTCAAGAGCTGGTTTTGCAGGTAGGCGCTGTTACTATAGGAGGCCGAGTGATCCTTGCCTGCCAGCCGGGCACCAACATCAATGAAGGATGTTGGAGAGCTGATGAGGCGAGTGCTAGAGCGAAGACTTGCCCATACACCTTTACAAAAGCCAAAATAATTTAGTGAGATAATCTGATGTGGGAATGCCACTGAGCTGGGAAAAAGACACATGCTCTGTAGGTATCATTTTTGAGATAACAGCAAGTTAATTAATCTAGGTAATCATGGATCCTACTGGTCATTTGTCATTTATCTTTGCAATGTATAAGCACTATTTAATACGGCATCAAGATTAGTCACCCACATTACTCCTATTACTGTATTTTGATGTAAAGTTAGTGTTTATGAGTAAAAACTTGAATCATAATAAAAAAGAGCGCAGGCACTGGGCAACAAAAGTACAAGCAGGAGCAACGAGGAAGCCTGAGCAGGAGAATGTGATTCCATTTTTCTGGGCTTCATGCAATAAGAACATGCTTTAGTCAATCAATTCAACAATAAATCTAGATTAAGAATGACATTAGAACTTTACTAAACCTACTAAAATCTCAGGATGGATTTGGAATTAATATGTGTGCATCATGCCAAAATGATGTAATTTAAAGTTAGTAAAGATTATATTATACTTTCGCCACAGTACACTTAGTAATGCACATTGTACTGAATCATAACTTAGGAGGCTTTATATAAATTTTTAGTCAGGCAGATGTCTTCTCTGGGAAAGGCCAAGCTGAGCTGCTAGAGGAATCTCATATTGTAAATTGACCTTAGTTACATTCATTAGAAAAAATCAAGGATTCCTATATGCAACAAAACTGTTGGATACTAAATATCCAAACCCTAAAGCCCAGCTAAGTCTGACATGTGACTGGCAACGCAGCATCTTTACATTGTAGCCCCTTACAAAACCTATAAACTGTGGGGTTCCTGTTGGTCAGTGGTCAGCAAACTCCTTAGTCAACAGAGCCAAATATTAACAGTACAACGATTGAAATTTCTTTTGAGAGCCAAATTTTTAAAACTTAAACTATATAGCCGAAAATGGTTTGGCTCAGTGGATAGAGCGTCGGTCTGCAGACTGAAGGGTCCCGGGTTTGATTCCAGTCAAGGGCATGTACCTTGGTTGCAGGCACATCCCCAGAGGGAAGCGTGCAAGAGGCAGCCGACCGATGACTCTCTCTCTCATCGATGTTTCTAACTCTCTATCTCTCTCTCTCCCTTCCTCTCTGTAAAAAATCAATAAAATATATTAAAAGAAAACAAAACCAACTTAAACTGTATAGGTAGGTACATTGTTATTAATTTAATTAGGGTACTCCTACGCTGTCCTTTGCTAAAAACTCAAGGGGCCAAAGAGCCTCATGTGGCTCGTGAGCCGCAGTTTGCTGACCACTGCCCTTGGGGATGTGTTGCGATACAAGACACTGCAGCTGCTCCCCCTGTGTGGGCTTCCTCTCCAGGTTTGGAAAGGCTCTTTGAGAGGCTTCCCTCTTTGCCTACTGTTAAATCAAGCCCTGTTTCTGGTGCCCAGAAGTCACTGCGATAATGTCACACTGGCTTCTCTCTTTATGAGCGATTATAGGGTCAGGAGACCAGTTCCTAAGAAAAGGTTTTATAGGTGATTCTGCTTAATGTAGATGATTTGTCTTATGTAACACCTGAACTTATCTTTGCTATCATGGCTAATTTTTGTAAATGAAATCACAAAGGACATTCAGAATGTGGGTGGGAGTACAGTAATTTGACAGACAAATGTGATAAACATCACTGGTAACACACGTTTTCATATGAAGGTGGTTAAAAAGAATGACACATCAGGACCAGAATACAGTACCTTGGTTATGGACTCTTCCCTTAGTTGAAGATTTGGGATCTGACTGAGTAAAACATGTATCTCTGTTCCCATGCACTGGGAGGTGAGAATAAAGGCAGAAAGAGGATAAAATACACAGAGCAGCAAACATCAGAGCAAATCGAGTAAGAGAAGAGTAGGTTATTTAATTTTTAAAATCAAGTTAACATAGAAGGAAAGATGCAAATATAATAAAAGTAGATTTGATTAACAAATAAAAAGCTGCACAGTCACACAGAAACGATGAACTGAGCACCTGCTACATGAAATGCCAGCACCTGCTTATAAATGTGAGCGCAGTGAAATGAACGCACAGCGGAGAGTGCCACGGACAATTATACCAAATGGAACCAGCTTTTGAAGACTGTCATCGGGTGACAATAATGAAGTCAAGGAATTTAGCAACTACATTGGCCCTAGTGTTTGCGGAGGCTGATTGACGGGAAGTGCTACGTGCTGTACAACACATTTGCTCTTTGAGCAAGGCCACCGCATCAGGAATGAAGCTCCTGCAACCATTTGGAATAACTAAGAGCATGTTTTTGCAATAGAGCACTAAGCATTGCCACACTATCTTCTTTTTTCATCTGGAAATTAGTTATTTTCCATAAACAAATAGTTGTGAGCAGCAAAACATCATGATCCTGTGACAATACCTAATGCCACTAAGAATATAGCATGTGATGATTGAGGTAATGACTTCTTCTGAAATCCCTACTTGCACCAAAATGATAGGCAGTATTAGAGATAAAACTTTGTAATTTGAGTAATAGTGTGGGTTGTTTTCTTTTTCCGACAGAAAGAAAGCACTTTGTGACTATGGCAAATTTTGACCTGGTAATAACAAAAATAATGAGCAGAAGTTACAGTGTATCCTGAGCAAAGGAAATGCTCAAATCAAGTAAGGAAAATGATCTGCATTCATTCAGGATTGAAAACTGTCACAGCAGTATTATTAAGCTGCATAAAGTATGACACAACTTAATAAAGAAAAATCATTAGAAATAATTTTTATTGCTGCCTCGCTCCTCTAGAAGCAGGAAAGAAAAGGCACTGATGGCTTCAGTGGCCAAAGGAGGTGAGAGAGTGGAGGTTGCGACGGTGCAGGCTGACTGCACAGAGAATGCTGCTGCGAGGCAGAATGGAGGCGGGACACCAGGTCTCCTATGTGCTAGCGGCCTCTCCTTTCTATAAGGTTTGAGCTTTCCTACCGAGCATGGGACCCTAAAGGCTTACAATGAAGTCTGAGTTGTTGGCTCCTGATTCTGAAATACTGTTCCTTAAACTTATCACATTTTCTTATGCTAGTGCTTCTATCTGGAATGATTTCTCCCATTTTTTTCACCTAACAAACTCTTTATTCCTTAAGGTTCAGAAACAATGAGAACTTTTCTGAAAACCATCCCAGACTATCCCAGAGCTGTGGAGAGCTCTATTGGAATACTGATTACACTTCATTGGAGTTATGTGCATAATTGATCCTACTGGATTGTGTGCTCCAAAGGGCAGGGAACTAACCATATTTATTCTCGTATCCATATATATATGCAATGTTTGATTATCTTCTTTATAAAAAGTGATACACTGTGAACTACTGTGGTCTTCTACTCTTGCACGAATTTCATGCATCGGGTCTCTAGTATACATAGAAATAGAAAATGTATTTCTTACTGTGAGTCATGATAAAAAATGTTTGAAAGCTACTGACAGATACTGAGAGCATATGCCCTCTCTCTTCCAATCTGGCTTAGGGCAAGTGAAATGCAAATGTAGGCTTTCCTCCCATGCCAGTGGAGTATTAGGCAATACAGTGGAGTATTAGGCAATAATGATAATAACCACAACAATGATAATAGAACTAACATTTATTTGAGCTCTTACTATGAGCCAATTACTAGGTTAAGTGCTTTAGATAAATTATTTAATTTATTCCTTATAAATACTCTAAAGCAAGATACTATTTATCATTTCCATTTTACAGATGAAAAAACAGAGAATTAAGAGGTTTCCTAAATTGCTCAATATCATACACTAATTGGTAGGGCTGCAGTTTGAATTTGAATGTAACTGAACTAGACTCCTTGTGTCTTGTCACCTAGGCAACCCTGTGAGCCTGAATCTGTCCTCAGGGTCTGGCTAGGGATTGCTTCAGGGAAAAAGTGATGTAGTTCATCCCCCATGGGAATGGATTGTTGTTCAGAGCATGAGTGTTTCCTAAGCACTAGGGTTGGTCTCTCTATTCTGTTTAGACAAAACAAAGAAGAGAAGAAAAAAGATGTTGGGTTGGATGTGGGAATGAGGTCCTGTACTTTTTTATGCATGAGACACAAGCTAGTTAGTGAATGCTGCACTGAAATGGCCCAAACTAAGCCTGGTTCCAGTTATGCTGCTATTTGCTAAGTGACCTTGACACTTCCTATCTCAGAGCCTCTTAAAATATATATTCTGGAGGTTATTTCAAGGATAGAATAACACTTGTAGAGAAACTTATAGAGTTATGGAAATGTAAACAAGCCTCCAGCGCCTGGCCAGGTGGCTCAGTTGGTCGGAACATTGTCCAAAGGGTCGTGAGTTTGATTCTCGATCAGGACACGTACAAGGCAACCAATAGATATTTATCTCTCTCATTGATGTCTTTCCCTGTGTGTCTTTCTTTCTGTTTTTCTCTCTAAAAGTCAATAAGCATATCCTCGCATGAGGATTAAAAAAAAGCTGCCTCCATGTGGCTACTTCTCAATATGCATAACTATTATATTTGTATTTAAGAGGCAGTACCAATTTTCTCATGGCATTTTTCTACTCAACAAAGTAATTTGTCCAAGTTGTGAGTTAATGCATTTTTCCTCCAGGGGGCTCAAAAGCTATTTTAATTACAAATGAAAAGCAATGTGATCTAGTCACATCTTCATTTTTCTTAAAGATTCTTATGTAAAAAAGGCTGCTTCCCTTGATTAACCAGCTCATCAGCGTGCACACTGAATGCAAAGTGATTACTGACAGAAAAAAAGGCAAAGGAGACGGTGGAGGCCAATCTGTGCAGAGCAGAAAGGCACACAGGGAAATAACATAAGAAGGAAACCAGAAACTAAGAGTTTATGACAGTGAAGGGAATGAAAAAACAAAAACAAAAAACAACACCCCACACAGTGAAAAGACACAGGAGAGAAGAAAGGAGAAGGTTTGAGGATGATTTTAGAGACAGGAAGCTCTTCCCACGCAGGATAAATGAGAAACGTCTGGAGCAGGGTACCTCGCTCTCTGGAAGACTGAAGAGACTGTGCCTGAGGGCAGGTTAAAAAAAAATGAACCAAGTGCAGGGCGTGCAGGCCTAGTCTTGCCCTGAGTATATGCCTGCCTGCCATGTTCATAATAAGGAATCTTCTGGGACTTCCCAAACTTGCTTGCCCCAGTCTATTCCTGCTACTCTCTGTGAGGAGGAAGGACACTATCAGAAGAGACAGAAGAAGCAGATCTAAGGATCAGAGATGTTGAAAGTATCTCATCTTTCAATGAATCACTGGGATCCTCGAAGATCTAGGAGGCTTTAAGGGTAAAATTATTTAGGAGGGCTGCCAGAAATAATAATTAGGGCCTAGAATACATAGGATGGATCAGAAAGAAAGAAATAGGAGATTTTAACTCTAAAAGGTAAATACAGACTTCCAGGTACTCTTGAGAAGAAGAAAGAAGGAACTCATAACGAGAATGTAACCACTAGTGGGGATCCCCTGTTATAAAACAGCCAGAGTCTGAGGCCAATATAAAAATAAATAAATAAAGGAGATAATGTAGTTGAAACAGACTGATGAATATCCATGAGTCTTAAGTACCAACATAGAGGGAGAGACAGTTTTGTAGCTAAAATGTACATTGCAGGTCACTTGGCCCCAGTGGGGGAATAGATAATGTGTTCTTGATGAAGTTTACAAAAGCAAGACACAAGAGCCAGGCGTGGGGCTCCAACCAACCAGACATGTGCTGGAAATGGAACTCTGTTGAATGGAAAAACTGCTGACATGCCTTGCTGACAATATAAACTTTCAGATAGTGACTTTTAAAGTAGTTAGAGGAATAGCAACCTTGAACCAAATTCGACAGGAGAGCTTGGCAACAGAAATACCAGGAACTTTAGGAGAAAGGCACTGTACTACTCTTAGTTCAATTTTACCAAGAAAGAAATGATGAGACAAATGAAGTCTGTATCTTAAACTTTGAAACAATAGTATTTTTAAAATTGAGAAAAAAAGCTATATATAACCCTATGGGTTGAACTGTGTCTCCTCCAAATTCATATAGTGTAGTCGTAACCCCTCTACTCCAGAACTTGACCTCAGTTAGAAATATGACCTCGCTGCAGATGTAATTAGTTAAGAAGAGACCAGACAGGAATGTGGTGGGCCCCTAATTCAATATAATGGGTGTCTCTCTAGAAAGAGGACATTTAGAGACAGACACGCGGGGAGAATATCATGTGATAACGGCACTGATCTGGGTGGTGCTTGTACAGGCCCAGGGGGAGACGGCCAGCAAATACTGGGCGCTAGGCAGAGGCCTGGCACAGATCATTCCTCACAGCCTCAGAGGGCACCAGCCTGACATCGTGATTCTGGACGTCTAGCCACCAGGACTGTGAAGCAATAATGAAGTCACACGTCTGTGGCCCTGTTTTATAGTAGCGCTAGCAAACTAATACAATGACCGTGAGATCTAATTAGGAAGGTGACTGAAGAAGACTGAAAGCTCTTAGGAAATCCTACAATAGCAGAAAGTTCTGATGAAGTTAAAAAACAAGCATCCAAAGCACCACTATGGCTGCCAGGAGATGTCCACAGCAGTCTTGGTTTTCAAAAGGAAACAAATAAATTTTATAAACTAGAGCCTTGATGTTGATTCTGAACCAAATTCTGGAACAGATTATTAATGAACTATTTCAGATTACTTAGAAAAAGCACTAATTTCTGCAATGAGTCATGTTAAATTAACCATAAACTCATTAGTGCTGCAGTTATCAGTTTGAAAGATGGGCAAATGCTGGATTAAAACGATGGGCAGATTTAGGAATACGGGCCAGATAAGTTTCAGTAGGAGGACTCATATCCAATATAGATGAGTAGAGCAATCTCTTTCTTCAGAGAGGCCTCTAGATTATGTTGCTGAAGACTTCTGTCCTCATCTCTGGTTTGTTTAACATCTTTTTAAACAACAAATCACAAATCTCATGAGAACAGCGATCAAGTCTACAAATGACAAGAGGCTTGGAAAACAGCTAATACAGTAGTAGACAGAATTAAGATACAAATGTCTAAAACAATAGTCCATTATAAAAAAAAAATTTAAATTTTGTAGGTATAGTACACAGTATATTTAGGTTCAAAAACTAACTCTCAAGACTAGTATAATATATTGTTAAGAACTACAGTTCATGTGAAGCAGACAAACATTTCAAATGATACTAATCTCCATATGGACCAGCCTAGTGATGGGCTGTCCCTAATGTAATCTTAGACTCCATGAGTTCAATTCTGTGGAGAACCTACAGAATGAAGAAGATAGTGAACTGGACTGGAACCATCTGAGTTGGGGGTATTTAGAAGTAACGAAAGTTCTCAGAGAGAAAAGATGAGAACAGTTTTAAATCTGAAGGGCTACAGTGTGGGAGATCTGATTTAGAATTTTCTGACCTTAGAGGGAAGAGTGAGGATCATTATGTAAAAGTTACATGATGGTAGGTTTTTAGATAAATATGAGAAGGAATTTCTAACAGTTGCTTACAAATGCAAAAGACTACTTTTGGGAAGAATGTGTTTCCCGTTACTGATGATCAAGCAGAACCACGATAACAAACTTGGTTTGTTTTCAATGACTCAGCATTGCAAGGAAGTGAGAAGAACAGTCTAAGATTCTACTAATTCCACTGTGAAGTGATACTTACTTTCAATCAAGATACCTGGTCTGGAAATGCCTCTGAAAAGTAAAATAATCTAACACAAACATCCAGAGAACAAAGTAGATCTCCCTTTGGAGCTAAACAAGCCAATACTCAACCTTTCTCTTCTTCCTGATGCCAGCAGCTATAGCCCAGAGGGGGAAAAAGGTAACCTGAATATCATTCTCCCTTATTCCTCAAACTAACATTTCAGAGAACAGGAGTAAAAAAATCACAGGCATTGGAGGCACAGCCTTTGGGGTTCAGATCACTTCTCCCAAGCTGGTTATGCTTTTGTGGTCAGTCTTTCTACCCTGCAAACCTGAAGCATCTTGGAGTCTTCTGAGGGCTGACTCACCATTTAGACATGTTCCCATCACCTCCCAATGCCTCCAAACCCATCAATATGTAAGATTTCAGCAATTAATATACCTTATCTCAGTATTAGAAATAAGTTTGATCATTCATTGAGAAAAGGGTAATTGCTAGAAATAAATTTGATCATTCATTGAGAAAAGGGTAATTAAAAACAATTAGAACCATAATTAGTTGATTTAAAGAATCACTATCTAAAAAAAAATTTTTTTTTTGCTTTTAAGATTGTATCAGTGCTCAGTTATAAAATCAATCTTACTAACCTCCTCGAGCAAAGCTATTGGATGGGTTAACATCCAAATGTCCTGGCACTACCTGCTTAAGCACAGTGGGCTTTCTTGAAGTTCTCCTTTCAGTCCCTAAAGTCAGCCAAAAAAGAAGAACAAAAACCATGTCGTTCGGGTTAACATTACTCAAATGACAAAAAGTTATCTTCATGTGTAGCATGTCTAATTGCTGCCAAACATTGTACTTTTTAAGTACCCAGAGCTTCAATAGAGATAACAAGGCACTGTTACTATTTATTTCCTCAGAGATACACACATTTGCAAGATTATAGGGAGTTAGGTTTGGCAAGTGCAATCAGAGAATTTAATGATAAATGAAGCAAGGCATGCATGGTGTTACTTTACAAGAAAAGCCACTTTCTGCTTATGTTGAGCTAATTCAAATAGCTGATTAAGCCAAGAAGACCAACTTTTCAAGTCACATGCTCCTGTGTCTAACACGTTAGGGTTACCTCTACATGAACCCTTTGGGGTTCCATCACATGATAACTGAAACAAAATATTAGTACAAGTCTTAATGGCTTCATCCAAATCTAGTGAAAACAAACTGTATTGCAAATCATAAAAGGCTGCAGAAATTTCAGGAATTTTAAACATGTTTATTTTAATAATTATACATTTAATAAAGAGATGTTCACTTTATACACTTCGTAATACCATTTTAAATTCTATGTAAAATAGATTCTAGGAAAAAAACCAACCCCACATGACTTTATTTATGTTCCCCACCTCCTCTTCCATTATTACTCTTTTAAAAAGGAAATAACTGAATCTCTAAATGTGGTTACTATTCACTGAAATTAACAATGGTGCCATGAGTTCTAAGTAAAAGGAACTGAAGTTACAGCTCCTTTAGGTAAAATTTTAAGGGGTCATATTGAACAAACTGTGCAAATAAGTAAAGGGACTAATCCTCAGAAAGAATCTGACATTTCAGAGCTGTCAAGAAGAAAAGGATGATCAAATCTTACCTGGAGGCAGAGCAAGTGCCGGCCTGACCGTGAGGGTGTTGTTGCCACGGAGTTTCTGATGGACAGAAACTGCACTCAGAATGGCTTGTAAGTACTTTTCTTGTTCTATGCTGCTGGAAGATTCTAAGGAGGAGGCAGGGGCTATAAAAGAAAAAAATATACTGAATAAAACAATCAGTATCTATATTAATAAAAAAGGCATATAGCTATTTTTTCTTTTTATAGTCTTTAAGCTACCACACCCAAATGAGAAACCAGCCCCACTAAAAGCTCCAAACTATCAGGTGGCTAATCCTCCTATATTGGTTTCACCACACCCATTTCTTGATTGCTTCCTCCTCTCAGAAAGAGCTTAAATTTGGAAAACCACATAGCACTGATTTGCCAAGAGCAGGTGCGGTTTCTCATTATCCAAGCAACTCAAAACGAAGATTCACACAAGACAACATCTCCGTTATGGTTCCCCCCAACCTTCCTGTCCATGCTGTTTGAAAGCAGAGGATGGAGGGGGTTCCCCGGCATCCTGGAATGGGCAGTAAAAATTTCCCAATACCAGTAGCTTTATTCCAGTTTTGCCGCATCAGCTTAACAGGGGATCTGAACTTGCAGGGGTCATTTGTGGAAGAACAGAGGAAGTTGGGGAGAAGACAGCAGCAACTACTGTGAGATTTCTGTCCTAAAAGATGGGCGAAAAGTAGGCACAAATGGAAACAACTGTGAGAACAATTCTGGGTGGGAGGGAGTCTGGGCCTGGGGTGTATGAAGTGAAACAAAAATTAGTGAACTTGGCTCAGACACTTTACAGAGCATCAGAGGGGACTTACGAGAAGGACAGTAGATAGTAGCAAATTCTCTTACAAACTGAATGGGAAATAATTAGAATTTTATCAATTTTGAAATAACATTACTATATTTTATTATAAAATGCACCATTATTTTATGTATTAAGAATCATAACTGTCATTTAAACTAGAACACACCTCTTTCTGATCACTTCCATTTTAAGATGCATCCCTATTTCAAAGATATTAAAATGGGAGCAAATGTATAAGCTCAAAAATAAAAAAATTAGTAAATTAATGTTAGATTTATAGTGGAATAAAATAGTTTCAGTTTCTTCCATTTAAAAGCTCAGTAATATGCTCATTGGTGCTCCTGAAATAATTTGCTCATTTTATTTAACCTACATATACTGTGTTCTATTATACCCACTATAGAGCTGGGGAGGATTCATCAGGGTGGAAACAATTAAAAGCTAAATGCCTTCAAATATACCTATGTGCGACTTCAAGCCAGGTAAAATTAATAAAGTAATAATAATATAATGTTGTTTGTGTGTTTCCCTCAGTCAACTAAATGATCAAAGACACACTGGCCAACTTTCAACTTTCAGGAGGGAAATAGGTGAGAATAAAGAGAGATATCAAAAAGCACATGGTTTTACCAGATGAACCACAGAATCTAACTTACCTCATCTTGAAAAAGGAAAAAATGCTGCCACCCTAAACTGGATCTGAGTGGCCCATTGTTTAATTTTATTGAATATTCTATAAAATAAAACCCTAATATGCAAATTGACTGAACGGCAGAATGACCAGTTGCTATGACATGCACTGGTCACCAGGAGGCAGATGCTCAACACAGGAGGCTCATGGCCAGCGAGCGCAGCGGCAGTGGGAGGAACCTCTCCTATTTCCACGGCAGTGCTAAGGAGCAGTGAGCAGGCGGGCAGTAAGGAGTCAGGGGTCCCAGATTGCGAGAGGGATGTCCAACTGCCAGCTTAGGCCTGAATTTCATGCTCAGAGCCTCTAGTTTATTATAAGCTGAAAGTTATGAGAAAGGTCAGCAACAATAGCTCCTGACTGCCTTCAAGGCCTCATATTTATTGCTCAGAAATATCCCTATAAAAGAGAGACAGTAGCACTCTATCTCCTCAAGTTGGCCATCTTCTAGTTTCTAAAAACCCCTATTCGTGAGAGCTCCTAAAGCAGCATTTTGGTCACTGGTTTGCTGACTTGTTTTTGTGTGTGGGTGTGTCTTGTAGGATTGAGGTAGGGTATCTTATACCACATGGACCAGGACCCCTACCTGCCTCTGAAGCTGCTAAATATATTTGAATACTTACCAGAAGAAAAAAAAAGAATAGCATAATCTAGTTCCCAACTGTGGATATTCTTGTCTGCTGAAACGAAAGTAGCCTAAAACCAAGGACTTTATTAGGTTAATTTCTATTAAGAACCAAATATAAATAGGCATATCAAGACCCTAAATTCCAGGTGGAGCCCCACATGTCAGGTATAGATAGTGTTTAAGTTGTTCATGTTGTATATATTAATAGCAGAGTGGGAAAGTCTATGTGTGAGAGGCATGGTGACAGGGAACAATTGGCATTCTCAGATTTTATTTCTTTTATTTTAGGAATGCTCTGAAGTGAAAGGATCATCATTGTGCTGTGGAGATGCTTACCTGCCTGAGGGGAGTTCTGAGATTTGAAAAGACCAACAACTCCCTTCCCATGGAATCCTCCAGCTCGGAGGAGCAGAGTACCGCTTCTTGAGTTCTTCCAGCATACAACAGGTAGGCGATTGTGTCGGTAGCAGCGGGCTACTCTTGGTAAACTACTGTCCTGTACAGCTTGAGGTACAACTAAAAGGCCAGGGTAGCTTCAGAGACAAGGAAGGAGAAAGAGAATGGTTTGGATGAGTGAGGGTAAGGGGTGGGGAGAAGAGAAGAGGAGGGAGGGAAGGGTAAAAAGAGAGAGAGAATATAAGAACATGAATATCATAATGCAATAGTCATTTTCCAAGACTCAGAAACCCTGGTTGAGGGTAAGACATATTTCAAACATGGAACTCAATTTCAACTCAGTTCTTCTGGGATTAAGCAGAAAAGGCCTACATGGTGGAAACAGCTATCTCATTCACTAATCTGTAGTTTTCTTACTTTCTTTTTTGGAAATAGCTCCTTTCATTGGCACTGCATACTTTTGCTGAATAATCTTAGCTTACAAAATAAAAGTGTTATGTAGAAGTATTTAAAAGATTCCTGTTAAACTGATATCTCCTTTGCTTTATACACAACTTTTCATCAACTTGAAATTAAGATTAATACATCAATGTCAACTTTATAAGAATGACAAGTCAAACTGTCACCTCATTAGACTGCTGAAATGATGAGAAAGTAGAGTACACTAATATTAGACTACCTGATATGGTGAAAGGATTAAAAATAAAACCAAGTGATTTCTGGTATGAGAACAATATGTTCAAATGTCAAAACAAGTTTAAATATTTTACCAACACTACAGGTTAATAATGTTTTGAAAAGATTAGCTCATATACTAGCAATTATAAAATATGATATTGGGAAAATATACAGATAAGAGTACCCTGCTTTTATAAGTAAGTATAAGAAGAGAGGCAGGTTTCAGAGTCATTTCTTTTCTTAGCTTATTTAGAAACTAGAGGCCCAGTGCATAAATTCATGCATGGGTAGGGTCCTTAGGCCTGGCAGGCAATCAGGGACTATTGGGCATCTTGCCCAGTCCCCATTGGGGCCAGGCCAGCCAGAGCCTGCTGGATGGGGCCTGCTGGATGAGGGGAGGGACCGCAGAGGTTTTCTGGCTAGGGGCAGGGATTGGGGAGGTTGGTCAGTCATGGGAGGCTGGCCATGGGAGCACACTAACCACCAGGGGGCAGCTACTGCATTGAGTATCTACCTCCTGGTGGTCAGTGTGTGTCATACTGACTGGTTGACCAGTTGTTCGGGTCATTTGGTCATAAAGGACACTTAGGCTTTTATATGTATAGATATTACACTAGAGAGATTTCTTTCTTTTAAATTTTAATTAATTAATTAATTAATTGTATTTATTGATTATGGTATCACATAACTGTCCTCATTCCCCAATTCCCATCCCAAACCCCTCCCACATATCCCTCCCCTCCCGTTGTCCATGGCCACTGGCTAGGCCCATATGTATGCACACAAGTCCTTTGGTTGATCTCTTCTCCTTACCCCCACCCTCCCCTACTTTCCCTCTCAGGTTTGAGAGTCTAATCACTGCTTCTCTTTCTCTGGGTCTGTTTTTGTTCATCAGTTTATGTTGTTCATTATTTCCTCTAGTAGTGTGAGATCATGTGATCCAAGAAATACCCTTGTAAGAACCTAAACTGCAACAAAACCATAATGGTTATGCTGAGAGCAAATGTATCAGTCTGTAGTGAGTTCCTTTCTGGGCCAACAGTTCTTTTGAGTCCCAATTTCAATGTCAAATAGTTCCTTATATATACATGTCAGCCATGATATTTCAGATCTGGTTGGTGGACAAATGGTGGTGATGCATACTAGGGAGATTTCTTATTAATAACATCCCAACCTCTAATTCTATATCTTTTTTTTTTATTGTGTTAAAATATACCTAATATAACATTTAACATATTAACCATTGTAAGAGTATAAATCATTGACATTAAGTACATTTACAATATTGTGCAACCACTACAACTATCTATTTCTAGAACTTTTAATCAATTATCTTGATATAAACCAGTGCTGAGAGGAGGGAGAGGAAATCCGGTTATAGCCATGTAAATCATAACCTTCAATGTCTTCAGTGAAAGCCAGATTAACTTTCCATATTTGACTAGATAACCTGGGAGCATTCTGAAGTTTCAGGCTGTGTTCTCTAACCCACAAACTAATGAAGAGACCTGGCTGTGGACATAATCATCCATGAAGACTGGAAAAGCAGTTCCATTATTAGGGCCCCTAATTCTAACTCCACTTCAACATCTGTCCCCCAGCCCCCAACCCCCAGTTGTTTCTAGACACACTGATTTTGTGTATTAGATAAGGGAGTATTACTTAATGGCTTTGGGGCTATTTCTAACTGGGAAAGAACCAGTGCACCCCTTCCCTCCTCACCCCTGTTGTGGACTATCTATCCCTTCTAGGACATGAGCACCACATACCAAGCTCCACTACACACAGATCTAAACTCCCCTGCTCCCAGGCCTCGGCTTGAGTGACAGCTGGATACCTACTAGGGCTGAGGCAAATGTTGCTGAGCCTGAAGCCTGGCAGAGGTACTCAGTGCCAGGCTCATTTAGCAGTGAAAGATACATCCATTTACCCTGCAACTCCGCCTACCCACTACCCAGAGCCACCAGCTCTGCACTTCAGAGTAAGCCTCAAGGAATCGATCTCGGGACCCCTCAGTCTGCAGGCCAATGCTCTATCACTGGGCCAAACCAGCCAAAGCATCTTTTAATTTTAATTGGAGCATTTAGTCAATTTAAAAGTAAAATAATTACAAATATATTTGAATTTAAACTTAACACCTTACTATTTGTTCCATCTGTTCTATGTTTTCTCTCCTTTTTTGCCTTCTTTTGGATTATTGTTTTTATCATTCCATTTTCTTCTTTCTAATAGTGTGAGGTTTATATATTGTTTTATATCAATTAAAAATATAAATGCTTTATAGCAAGTGTCCTAACAAATGGTCTATTAAAATTTTATTTCATTTCTGACAGACTGAAATGATAAATGAGAGCTGTTTTCTCACTGGCAGGCCTAAGTTTGATAGCAAGCTTCCCCAACAACAGGACATCACACCCTGACGGTATCACACTAATCTACAAAGGGAATTTAGTTAGAAGGACAAAGTACTCAGGAAATTATTGCATACTTAACAGAATCACAACCTACCAGAACTTAATGCAGTTTTTTCTATTTGGCCCAAATTGTAAACCATATTCTCAACTTGTTTTTCAAGTTTTACACCGGTAATATTTGTAAACTTAAATTGTCATTTAAAATGAGATATTTATAGTCCAGCCAGTGTGGCTCAGTGGTCAAGCATCAACCCATGAACCAAAAGGTTGCTGGTTTGATTCCTACTCAGGGCACATGCCTGAGAAGGGGGTGTACAGGAGACAGCCGATTGATGATGCTTTATCATCATTGATGTTTCTCTCTCTTCAACCTCTGCATTCCTCTCTCTGAAATCAATATAAAGATATTAAAAAATAAAAATATATAAAACGAGAATTTATAGTTCTTCAAGAACAGTTGCAACTAATACTAACATTAATACAACTTTCTAAAATATGTACAAGGCTTACAATTTACAAAGTGCTTTTACAGAATTATTCTATTTAATCAAACTAGGAATTTATAGATGCCAAGAAAAGAACTTACCTGGAGATGAGAATGATTTAATTTGTGGATGGTGGAAATATAGTTTTAAAAATATAAAGCATGGCACAGGGCTTAACAGATATACAAAATAGCAAGAGGTAAGAATAGAAAAAAATAAAATGTACTTATTTACATTCTTTAAGTAATATCCCTTGAAAATATTCTAATTAGACAGCATGAGAAAGCTCTGTCTACTCTTGGGTCAGCAAATTACAGCCTGTGGGCCAAAACTGGCTCCGTCCATTCATTCACTCACTCACTGTCTACGCTGCCTTTGTGGCAGTTGAGAAGTTGCAATCAGAGAATATACAGCCTGCAAAACTGAAACTATGTATATCTGGTCTTTTAAAGAAAAAGTTTGCAGACTCCTGGCCAATATCAGACTTTCATCTTTCCTAACTGCCTGGGCACATCCTATTCTTACTTCAAGTCATCTTCTGGCATGCTAGAAGAGAGGCAACTAGGAAAGACAAATAAAGGAAATTCATGAACTACTGTTTCCATTTACTTCTGATCTGATATAGGCATAGCTCAGTGATGTAACTGCACTTCTGAGAATGCCAATGAGGTGCTTGCTCACGCTTCATAAAGTGTCCCCTTAGCACACATTTCTCTCTCTCTGGGCTATGAGGCAATTAGCCCATTAAAGACTCAAATGGAAGAAAAGAAAGGTCTCTTTTTGGAGCGCAGGGACACACTTACCTCCGGCAGAGTGAATACATCCTGTTACAGGCTGTGATTCGAAAATACTCTGGTTTTGAGCGAGAAGAGGTGCCACTTATGGTTCCTAAACCTAAACGCTGATAGTCTCTGAAACAGGCTTTTTCCACCAACTGTTCCATTGTAGACTTCTCAGAGGCCTTCAGAGTGGTACTCGTGGGAAGTTCGCTCTCATCTGAAACTGTGAGGGCAGAAACCAGTTTTGAAAAAAATGATATAACTCCAAGGAGAAGAGAATCCTTAAACCAAGGGATGTTTATATTAAGGCTATAGGTCTATGCATATCACCAAACATGTAACTTCTAAGGGGGAATCATTATGGTCAAACAAATTTGAACAGTAATGAATAGTCACAAAATAAACTACCAGGTGCTCAACTGACTCAAAATGTCAGCAGAATTAACTCAAAATGTCTAAAAATAATACAATTTTGAATTCATTACTATAGTTTTGTTTCAGTTAGACTTGCTTATTAATGCCAATGTATAGTGATTTCTATTTAGGACTCTATAGAATAAACACTCAACTTTGTCAGAGGCCAACCCATCAGTAAAATTAATCTTTAATATGAGCACAATATAAATTCATCATCGAGGTTTCAGTTAACTTTTCAAAGCATAAACTTTTATTAAAAGTTTCTAGATTAAGCAGAAGTCACTAGTGGGAAAAGACCTTTCTTAGAGAGGTATGAAGAAATCATACATTTTTTTGGAAATATTTTTGTCAGAGGATGTGGCATACAATTTTACAATCACGGGTTACAGAATCCTTTAAGATTTTAGATGTGGCCAATAATCAAGTATTTTAGGGAAGATTAAAACACACACACACCCCAACATTGCTAATTGGTACTACATGTTCTAACTAAAAAATAAAAAATTCCATTGTTAAAAACTCTGAATTTACTTTCTTATTTATTTTTAAAGTAAGAGAAGTCAAATTAAAGCTTTCAAAGTTTTTGGAAATGTACTCAAAGTTATAATGTCAAAGGAAACACTATGGCTCTCTTCCATTAAAAGAAAAAAACCTAACAGCTCATCCGTATAAATACTAAGATATTAATTTGTGAACTTCACAATGCAAAAATATTGTCAGGTATCAGTTTTGTGTTGCCTTTTATTTTTAGAGGAGCAAAAGACCAATATGTAATTTAGTCTTTTGGTGGAATATCATCTATAATCACAAAAGCATAATATGCTACAGCCGAACTATCTTTTGGATGTCATTCAGGATGGCATGGCAGGGGCCGAGGCAGAGGTGTTTAGGGGCGATGAGGCAGGCAGGCAAAGTGGTTAGAGGTGATTAGGCAGGCAGGCAGGCAGAGTGGTTAGAGGTGAACAGGCAGGCAGGCGAGTGGTTAGGGGTGATCAGGCAGACAGGCAGAGGCAGTTAGGGGCAATTACACAGGCAAGCAGGCAGGTGAGCGGTTAAGAGCAAGCGGTTCCTGACTGCGAGGGATGTCCGATTGCTGGTTTAGGCCTGATCTCTGACATCCCCCGAGGGGTCCTAGATTGTGAGGTGCAGGTTGGGCTGAGGGACCTCTAGTAGAAAAATAGTTTTTGTTCCATGAAATCATAAAATCTTTGAATTAGAAGAGTCAATAGTGATGGGAAGCAATAATTTTATAGGGCTTTCCAAGTGCCTGTATAGAGGCCAGGATTCCAACAAATGGTCACTTGAGTAATAGTGAGCTTCTCATTGCCCCCAGAGGCAAGCTTATAGGTATCCACACTAAAATGGAGACTCTTAGCCAGTGATCTCTCTCAAGATGAGGCCTCTTCCTCCTCCTCCTTTTTATCCTTCTTCTTCTTTTTCTTCCTCCTCCTCCTCCTCCTCCTTATTATTATTATTATTATTATTATTATTATTATTATTATTGTTATATAAGCATGGGTGATTGATTCTAATCCTGAGAAAGAAAAGGGTGCAATGGTATCCTGCCTCTCTATTAGATCAAATTATCTCTAGTGTTAATACCATAAGCATATTTGATTCTGGATTAAGAAATAGAAAAGAGTCACTGGTTTGCTACTGGTTTTCTGCCTCTACATTCTTTTTTAAAAATCCTCATCTGAGGATATTTTTTCCATTGATTTCTAGAAAGAGTAGAAGGGAGGGAGAGAAGGGGAGAGAGAGAGAGAGAGAGAGAGAGAGAGAGAGAGAGAGAGAGAGAGAGAGAGAGAGAGAGAGAGAAAGAGAGAGAGAGAGAGAGAGAGAGAGAGAGAGAGAGAGAGAGAGAGAGAGAGAATTGACATGAGAGAGACACATTAATTGGCTACCTTCCATACACATGTGATCCTACCAGGGCCAGGGAAACTGCAACCAAGATACGTGCCTTTGATCGAGAATCAAACCTAAGACCCTTTGGTCTAAGGGCCAATGCTCTAATCACTGACCTAAACTGGCCAGAGCTGCCTCTATATTCTTGACCAAGAGGTATCTCAGCTTCTCAGATTTTGCCCTTTTAAATATTTAACAGTCACTTTTTAAAAAAATCATCTAAGCGTCCCTTTATCTTAGGTCCTCCATTAAAATAATTTTTTTAAAAAATTACTATCAGAGAGGAAGGCACAGGGTGAGAGATATAGAAATATCAATGATGAGAGAGGATCATTGATTGGCTACCACCAAACACCCCACTCTGGGGATCAAGCCCGCATGCCCTGACCAGAAATCAAGCAATGACCTCCTGGTTCAGAGATTGATGCTCAACCACTGAGCAACACCAGGGATAGGTCATCCATTTTGATTAAAAGCATTCACAATATACTCACTACAACTCAAAATCTTCAACTTCAAATACTAATGTCCTTATCTTATTCCATATCAATGAAGTACAGGGACTACTTTATAACTAAATTTCCTATGCAGTGGCGTTTCTTTCTCCCTTTAGTGAGACCCACATTACCATGGCCAATCAGAGCCACAGATTTAGTAAAGGAGAAGTATAATTTAACAAATCTTAAATGAGTAATGGACTATTGGGAAAATATATATTTTCTTCAGTTCTAAGAAACTAGTAAGTGCCTCCAATCTTCCAATGAGATCTATGTTTTTGTGAGTCAGGTTTACTAGTAAGTGCAACTATGTTTTAGTTTCTTATTCTTATTCGTATACAGAGAAAGAATAAAACTGATTCATGAAGGAAAACCAGGTTCTCACATACCAGATATGTCATCTTCCTCATTCCACCCAGGGCGACTCACTCTCTCTTCCATGATGGTCCCTGTTCTCTTCTTCAATAAATACTGACGTCCAATTGTCATCTTCCCTGCCCTTTTGGCACCTTTCACAATCGTTTTGGAGAAGGTCCTACAAGTCATAAAATGAAAGAGAATGTCAATTCAAGCTGAAGACACCACTTATATTTTTGATACCTGCGTAGCTCAACTGGTTTCTTCTCCATTCCCACAGCTACTAGTTTTGTCCAGACCCTCATTAAGCCTCTCCTCCTTAAGATTCCTTTTTACACGTAGCAGACTAATTTCCAATAAAACACTCTGTCATCAGGACACTGTTTTAGGCAAAAGTGCAAGAACCTAGAGTGAGACACCAACTCCTTACCACCCTTAATCTAAATTCTTCCATTTGGCTTTTTGGTCAAGCATGCCCCCAACCCACCCTGGCTGCCCACCCATTGTCTCCACCATTCCCACAAACGATGCCTTTGCGAGTCCTGGAGGAAAGCCGGCTTTTCTTTGGGACCGATGACAGTTATAGTTGATGACACCTTACTTCTTAAATGTTTTAAGTGCTGACTGGTGTCCTACCTTCTGATACTGTAAACCTTTTCAGATATAAAAGAGTAATACTATTCCCTTTTTTGAGAGGAGAAAAAAAATAAGAAATCAGACATTTGAGCATTCTTTTGAGAATTGGCTTTAATTACAGGGAAACTAGTATGCAAGTCACATGGACCTAAAAGTATTTTATTTATTTTTCTGCTGATAGAAAATTTGAGCACAGAGTATTTACAATATAGGGAATTGAACACATAACTTGCTTCCTAAATAATCACATTGAGGTGAAGGCTTCAAATATGGCTGTTTTTTGTTACCTTCTTCTCTACCACAAAGAACACAACTCTTTCTGTGTTTTCTTGCCATTCAGTGAAAAGTGGTAAGGATTCTTTTATTGTCAATAGTTTTATTAGACCCTGTCTTTTGTCATTTGGAATGTAAACCTGAGAGTTATGAAACATATTTTAGATAATTGTTAGAAATCACAAAATACTCGTATTTCCTAAATTAAAGCCAATTGTGAATCACTCCAGGTAAAACTTAAACTCGATGGGAGTTTTGAATTTTTTTTCCAATTAGAGCTATGTTTTTGTTTCATATAGTCAAAATAATTCTAAAATATTAAAAAAATTAAATTGCTGTGTCTCTTTTTATAGCTGGATAATACAAACTTGATATAATAAACTTAACTTTACATATAGATGTATCGATATGTAATTTCCCCCTAAACATAACATACCATAAAAACTTTGTTTCTTCCAATGAGGGCTAGGGTAGTGTTTCTTCCAATGAGGGCTCCTCTGTGACTCTACAGTGCTAAGACAAGATGCCTGTTTCACCTTCAGATACTCAGGAAGCTGTTCATGCTTCAGCATATTATACCCGGATATGTGTGGTCTCCTTCACTTATCCTGTCAATGGTACCGGTGGCTAGCTATGCAACTGAGAAGTGATTCACTGTCGAATCTCAACTCTTCTGTAATGCCCAGCCTACCTCACTTTCAGGCAAAGGTAGAGCTTTCTTCTCCAAAGTCTGCCGAGTAGCCCCTAATATGTAATTTTTATTGACAGAAACCCAAATTCCAGATAATTAATAACGAAAGCCCCTGTATTAAAGAGAATTTTAAAGCAATTGCTATTTGGTCATAACTGATATTTAAGTTTCAACATAAATTCCTAAAATTTTCAACAGAAAATAAGGGTTCCTACTAAAGAACCATGACAACTAAAATACAATGCTGGGTCCTGGATTGGATCCTGTACCAGCCAGGAAAAATGAGTAGTTAGAAAGGATCACCAGCAAAATTTGAATTAATTTTACTGCATGGACTCTGGGTTAAATAAAAGTTTTACGCCAATTAAATTTCCTGGTTGTGATTACTGTATTGAAGTTATATGAGATAATGTCTTTATTCTTAGGAAAGACAGACTGCTATATTTAAGAATAAAGAGGCATTAAGTATGTAACTCAAATGGTTTAGAAAAATATATGAGAGAGAAAAGAATAAAAAAATGGAGCAAAGTATAAATAATTGTGAATCTGGCTAAAGGGTATACAGGAATTCTTTGTACTAGGCTTTAACTTTTCTGTAACTTTTGAAATTGTATCAAAACAAAAAGTTACAAAAAAAAAAAAAAAGAAAAAAAAAGAAAAAGAAAAAGAAAAAATAAAGGCTTGGCCACTTCCCTGACGACCAGTGAGAGGAGGCTGAAATGAGGAAACCAGACTGACTTCTTACCGAAAGGAAGTGTTCTTTTCCTTCTGTTTGGGTAAAATTATTTGCGGGGTAGTCTGTCCAGTAGCAAAAGCAAAGGTGGTGAAAATGGACTGAGGATATCGGAACTTCATCAGCTGCTTCTTAAAGATCTCTACTACTTCGGGACTCACTTCTTCATCAAATGCTACTTTAATCAACTGGAGACAAGAGAGATTAAATGCATCAAAAGCACTAAAGATTTCCAGTTAATTTTCCCCAAAATTACTTAATAGTAAATAGTAATATTAAACGGCAAGAGTTTGGAGGTTGAGGAGACCTCAGATATCATGTAATACAATTAAATATTAAATAAATAAATTAAATATTGATTTCAGAGAGGAAGGGAGAGGGACAGAGAGACAGAAACATCAATGATGAGAGAGAATCACTGATTGGCTACTTCCTGCACACCCTCTACTGGAGATGGAGTCCATAACCAGAGCATGTGCCCTGCCTGGGAACTGAACCGTGACCTCCTTCCTGGGTTCATAGGTCAGCCACTGAACCACATAGGCTGGAAAATTTGTTTAATTTTAAAAATAAAAATTATGGCACAGAGAGGCTTAATTGACAAAGATGGTTAGTTGGCAAGAAAAATCATGTATCGTGAAGTTGGGTTGCTTTCAGACTACCTTTTCTATGATGAGATAGGGAAATTAACTTTTAGTGGCTGAAGTAGAAACATGCCCTTCTCTATGACCTATCCAGATACAATAAACCTAATAAAAAACTCAATGCGACTAGAATCCCAACTAGTATAGCCTGGCAACATTCTAATATAGAGCCCTCATATAGAGGAGTGAAGAAATCCCAGGAAGTCCCAATCTCGGGGGATGGGAAAAGGTCTGGAGCCTAGAGATCTTCGGTTTCATATTTCACATGAAGGAATAGGGAGGGCTTCTTGACTGGAAGAAATGAGGGAAGAATTGGAGCCCTTGGAAATTTGAGACAAAGCATGAAGAATTGCAATGGGAAAAAATAAGGAAAGACCACTCTTCCACTGTTTGGTCTGCATCAGTACTCCGCAAGTTCTAATACATTCAGAGCGCCCTGGAAAAACCTACGCTTTATTAGGGGTGACTTAGTACCAATAGTACTTCAGCCCTAGCCGTGATTATCAGAATGTTACTTCTTCCACAGAAGAGCCATAAACCATTTCCTTCTGAAACAGATGCCAAGAGAATTGCTTTCTATATGAAGGCTTTATCACACACAAACTGAGGCATGACTTGGCAGAGAACAAAAGTCAATTGTGTGTCTGAATTTTTAAGATCACTAAATACTGACAGATAATCTGCTGGCACTCTGAGTTGGCCACTGGGCTCAGGAAATGAGGGATTAAATCCAAGATGATTCATGTTTGCAGACTTGAAGATTACCCTATCCGACCTTCTGATCTTCCTCATCCACTAGCCACTTGACCACATGACCACAGAAAGTGGTCAGAAAACTTTTAAATAGAAGGGCTCCCTTTCTTAATACCTGAAAAGATGCGGACGTGATCTGCAGTCCTTCTTGCATGTTCTGCTGTAGCTGGTTCTGCACTGTGATCTTCTTCTCCTTGGTAATGGAGGCGATCGGGAAACTTCGCATAACTGTCTGCTCACCAACTACAAGAAGACAAGGCCTGGGCTCAGCAACAGCACATTACCACTCAAGCCTAGAATCCTGCTGCTCACCTTACCAGACTCTGCTGGGGAAATACCTCTGGAGAGCACAGAGCCCAGGAATGCAGTGAGAGAAACACCATGATGCAGAATCACATTCATTAATGTTACTGTGTGGCACTGACTCCCGGGACATAATCCTTCCCCAGAAGAAACTGGCACAGCATGCCTGCCTTCAGTCTGGTTCCCTAGCCTTTGCATGCCACACAAGATCGTTGGTTTAAGGCAATCTTATAGGAAGGGTAGGTTTTACACAGAAAAACAGAAGTATCTTTAATATTGAAAAGGCATCTATATTTAATGTAAGAATAAAGCAAAAGAGAAAAGGTTTTAAGTGTGCATCTGTAGGTGGTCAAAGGAGCCGAAGAAGACCATGGAAGGGTTTAGGACCAAGCTTTTTAGGAGTTTACTTATTAAAACAAAAAAAGGGAAAATATAAATAACTACCAACTATCTGAAGTTACGGAGATGAGGCTCTAAAGGAAGTGTGCCATGTGAGTGTCCCCTGAGAGCTCACAGTTCCGGTGGGACAGGAGTCACACACAGAATACAACATGCAATTGGCTCCTGCGTGTGAGGAAACAGGGCTTTCAATATTGCAGAGAGGGTGAAGATGTCTGCGTGCTGGGTGGCTAGAGAATGGTTCCTGGAGGAAGTGAGAGGGAAGGGGAGCTCTGAAGAGATTGTAGGTATAGATCTGAGACAGCCGCACCAGTAAGCACAGGAGCAGCAATAGGCAAGGCTTATCAGCGAGTGAGCCAGATGTGGTGAGAACTGAACTAGGTTTAAGGGACTTAAGTGTCCAGACACTTATCCACTCATTATCAGCAGAATTTCTCATTCCTTGGATCTGTCAATTCCAATCCTGGAAAATTCTGGTTATTCTTTTATGTTAAGCTCATACCCAGAGGCTAAACAAAATCTGGGTGTACATAGGATTTCAGTTCATGGATGTATTAGACAAACTTATATAACACATGCAAAATGATCAGATATCTGTGTGTCACTGAAGGAGACATATTAAGTTAGAAATTTAAAAAGAAATAAACTTAAAAAGGCAGATAAAAAGGTTTTCTCTGATAAGAATTTTCCTAAAATGTGAAATTAACCCCCAAATTGACAGGATAAAACAAGAGGACAATATAAGCTTTCACACTAAGTATGCCATTGATTTGTTTATAATAAATAAACTAGAGCAATTTAAATGACCAAAGTCTCATATATTTATATGTCCAATATGTATGTTTATGGCCACTGAATGCACAAAAGTCATAATACAAAAAAATTATAAGTACTGATACTCAGATTCTTTTAAAAATACATATGCTTACAGATACAAATGTAATTTATGTATAATAATATGATGAGAGGGCTGAGAAATTTTGCTCTATTTCCACTCTTTTTCAAAATGAGCATGACTATTCCTATTTCATTTCTTAAAATTTGAGTTTTTTGCTTATTATATAGTAAACAATATTTTATGATCAAGATAATGAACATCTTGATTCTATCCACTGTGAATTTTTAAAATTAAAAAAAAAATTGATTTCAAAGAGAGGAAGGAAGAGGGAGAGAGAGATAGAAACATCAATGACCAGAGAGAATCATCAATGAGCTGCCTTCTACATGCCCCATATTGGGGATCAAACTGGCAACCTGGGCATGTGGCCTAACTGGGAATTGAACTGTGACCTCCTGGATCATGGGTTTATGCTCAACCACTAAACTACACCAGCTGGGCCAACTGTGAGATTTTAAAGACGCTACATTTTATATGTCTGAATTCCACCATTTAACAAAATGCATAGCACATAGTAGGTACTCGTCAAATGCTGCTGGATGAATAACATCAGAAGAGGAAGGAACTTTAGTGACTATTAATCCCAGTGGTTCCCAGTCCTCAGTAGGCAACACAAGATACTTCTGGGGCTTAAAAATGCACAGAGGCCTATCTCCTATTCTTAGAATCCTAACTCAGATTTGAATTCAATGGTTCCACAATTGTTTGTGTGTGTGTTTTCCCTAAAATTTCTAGATAATTCAAATTCATCATTCAAGGTTGTGAACCACTGCATCATCAGTAACCAAGCTCATTTCCCTCATTCTATAACAGGGGAAACTGAACCCTAGTGAGGCCAGGAGACTTAAGATATTAACATTGTCTACAGCAATGTAGCCCTGAGCTTCTTGATTTGGAATCCAATTGTTTTACCTAAACCTAATATGCTTTTCCAGTTTAAGATGAAATACTGATTTCAAAAAGATGATTCAGACTTGATAGGACCTGCTATTCCTTTCTAATAAAGAAGATTGTGTAGGGAAGTAGAAAATAGAAGTTGCAGGAATTTAGTGGATAGAATAGAAGTTGTTTGCTAAGAGCCAAATGGGGTTAGTTGAAATGGGATGAGAGGGAGGTAGGGTTGGTTAATTAGTTGGTACAACCCTGGACTTTAGTACATTGTTCCAAAAAAGTTATCTTTACAGTTAACTGTAGGGCTCAGAAAGATGGGGCCAGTCAGCAGGGGGCATTGTTAGCAACCAGATACTGTGACTATACCTAGTCACAATATGCTGCCAATGAAATTATGATCATGTCAGTGAATTCACTGTTAAGAAGATACCCTTGGTTCTTCACGTAAGAATCTATGATCCAGAAGCAGAACAGACTGTTGGACCTCAGAGGAAAGGCAGGGGAGGGTGGGTGGGAAGAGATGAACCAACGAACTTGTATGCATATATGCATAACCTGGGAACACAGACAAGGGGGTGGTAAGGGCCTAGAGGGTTGGGGGGGAGAGGCAAGGGTTGGACGAGGTTAACGGGGAAAAAGGAGGACCTATGTAATACTTTCAACAATAAAGATTTAAAAAAAAAAATCTATGGTCCAAATTATCATTATCTGCGACAGACAAAAGTATTCTTAATAAACCCTTTGTGGCAAAACTCTTACTTTGAATCTGGAAAGGTCTGCAAATCAAACCCTCATACAGCACATACATATCCATGCTCTGATGGCATAACACCAGCCATACCTAGCTGATCGTGGGGCGTCCCCCTGAACAGAATTCTGTACGTGGTGAGGAACAAGGCCCCTTCGGCCGGCAGCAGCTGCGGGCCTCCCAGGAGGCCTCCAGTGGCTTCTTCTCTCCCATCAGGATCCAGCAGGACTCGAAGACCCTCACAAATGATTTCTTCTCCTGGCAGCAGGGCAGGTCTGAGAATCTTAGGCTAACAACAGAAAGAGCATTTTAAACATAACTCTTCTGGGGTTTCCAACACTTAGACAAGGCTCGCTCTCCCAGTTACAGATCTGAAAAACCTGAGCCAGACATTCCAAGCAGCCAATATTGACAAAACAGATTTGGAAGAGGCAGAAATGTCATATCTCTGTGCAAATGTGAGAAGATTCTTTGCAGCATTATTTATTAAAAGGAAAATCACTGGAAATTACTAAAATGCTTGAAACATCTATTCAGTGCAATCATTAAAAAAAATGACTTGAATCTATATGTATTAATGAAGAATGATATCCAGGATACACTGTTAAGTAAAAATAACCAGTTGTAAATATATATATATATATATATATATATATATATATATATATATATATACACACACACACACACACACACACACACACACACACACACACAACTGGTTATTTAACAAAAAGGGGATCATGATATCTATCTATCTATCTATCTATCTATCTATCTATCTATCTATCTATCTATCTATCTCATGATCCCCTTTTTGTTAAAAAAGAAAAAAAAAGAAAATTGTTAAGAATATGAGCCAACTGTTAAAGGTGGTGTTATTATGGTTAAGGGTAGTGGTGGGCAAGACAAGGGACTTGCACTTTGCACAATGTGTATTTCTTTAGTGCCTCAGTTTTATACAAAGAGCACTGTTACGTTTGCAAACTGAAGGGAAAAAAAACTTAAAAAAATGGATGCATCTTTAAAAAGACCCACCCACCCTTCTTGGCTCTTAATGAAGATTCACATAACAAATGGCCAAGTTATGAACATTTACACATCTTGGGAAATACAACACCACAAGATACACTACTCTAAAGAGTTCACTACAAGAAAAAAATCCATCTCTCTTGAACATCTCTTTTGCTTCCCTTTAAAGCTGTAAAAACAAATAAATCAGCATGTTTCTTTTCTTGGCTCTAAGAAGCTCAGAGCTAAATGTAAAGCTAAAGCCTAATAACCACTGTGTCTCAGGTTTCTGGTGAAGTTGTCTTTTTTACCCACGTGGTTTCTGATTTCTCCTCCGAATTTACTTTTAATAATTCTGTTGTATAGGTAAGAGGGTCCTGAACCCTAGTCCACAGGCTGGTGCCAGACGAGCTACAAAATCGTCAACTGGGAGGCTTGTTAGAGGACAGACCCCAGACCAAGTCCCAGGGAACTCCAGTTGGGAAATAAGGAACCAGGACGCTGGGGTAGGGCTCGGGGCTCTCAATTTCTAATCGACTTCCCAGATATTTGTGATATGTGCTCGCAGTGTATAGAGATTAAAGTACCTGGTCTTTATACGGTACTTGCCTTAAGTCATTTTTTTGTAAGTAGGCAGGGTATAAAATCCTGGCTTGGGTTTGGAAGTTAGAATGTTCATAATTTATGCCCCGCTTGTAAAAGCAACTCAACAAGAGGTTACTGTTGCTCTTTGCTGAACAGTATCCTTTTTATGAGGAGCTACGTGGTGGACTCTCTGGAAGTTTAATATATTATTAAAACTGGAGCTGGTCTCTGTAAAAGGTTAAGAGAAGGCACTTCCTGGGCATAGCAGTGTATTGTTGCTGTTTTTAAGAAGACGTGGCCGGAAGCACGTGGCCTGACTCATTACCTTCTGTATAGGCGGAAGTCTTCTACTCTCTCGATGCACAGCTTCCAGGGTCTCAATGTGCATAGCTACAATTCCTAGGATGCAAAAGAAAAGGGCACAAAGCAAGCAGAATTACAACAAATTCTGGATATTTCAGAACTGGATATTTAAAAACAAATATTTTGGTGGTACCTCAAGGAGGTGAACATATTATAGACCCAGCAACAACTCCTAGGGATACACCCAAAAGAACTGAAAATAAGGATTCACACAGATACTTGTGTGTTAATATTCATGGCAGCATTATTTGCAATAGCCAGAAGGTTGGAACAATGTAAGTGTCCATCAACAGATGAATGGATAAACAAAATGTGGTATACTCATACAATAAAATGGAATGAAGTTCTGATACCTGCTACAACATGAATGAACCTTGAAAACATATGCTAAGTGAAATAAGCCAGACACAAAAGGACAGATATTATGATTTCACTAATGCAAATACCATGCCATCTTATTTTTATTTATTTATTATTTAAAAAAATATATATTTTATTGATTTTTTACAGAGAGAAAGAAGAAGGGAAGGGATAGAGAGTTAGAAATATCGATCAGTCGAGACCGGTTTGGCTCAATGGATAGAGCATCAGCTTGGGGACTGAAAGGTCCCGGGTTCGATTCCGGTCAAGGGCATGTACCTTGGTTGCCCGCATATCCCCAGTAGGGGGTGTGCAGGAGGCAGCTGATCGATGACTCTCTCATCGATGTTTCTAACTCTCTATCTCTCTCCCTTCCTCTCTGTACAAAATCAATAAAATATATTAAAAAAAAAAGAAATATTGATCAACTAGCTGCCTTCTGCACACCCCCTACTGGGGATGTGCCTGCAACCAAGGTACATGCCTTTGTCCAGAATTGAACCTGGGACCTTTCAGTTTGTAGGCCGACACTCTATCCAATAAGCCAAACCGGTTTCAGCTTATTATTATTTTTAAAAAAAAATGTTTATTGATTTCAAAGAGGGAGAGGGAGAGGGAGATAGAAACATCAATGATGAGAGAGAATCATTGATCGGCTGCCTCCTGCACGTACCCCAACTAGGGATGGAGCCCACAACCCGAGCATGTGCCCTGGACTGGAATTGAACGTGGGACCCTCCAGTCCGCAGGTCGATGCTCTATCCACTGAACCAAATGAGCTAGGGCTAGTGTGCCATTTTATATACGGGACTTGGGCATCCATGGATTTTTGGTATCAGTGAAGGGGTGGTGGTGTCCTGGAACCAATTCTCTATGGATACCAAGGGAGGACTGTAAACAGCATGGCTTAACTCCACGGAAGACAAGTATTACAGGTTGTTATGCTGAAAAAAGTAGACCTATAACAATTCTTACTCAATTACCTATAATATTCTGATTCTCTAAAATCTGGAAAGTGATTACCTGGGATCATGCAATGAAGGCTCTTGATGTGGTCCTGAGTAACTCCACTCTCTGTACAAACTTTGTCAATAAAGCGGGTAATGAAACGCACAACAGAATTGGCAATGTCATTATTCTCTGAATCTTCAAACCCACTTTCTGTATCATAGCTCTCAGCTACACTTCCTGCAATACTAAGAAAGTCAAGGAAAGCAATCATGGTCAGTTCTCAAAATGTGACAAATTACTACCATATCACAGTCAATTTCCATGCAATTTAAACTTGCTCAGAGACATCTACCCAAGCAGAAGGCTCACTTACAGCTCATTTATAAGTGACAACAGGGAAACATTCTACTGGCCTACATTTGGGAGCTACTGTCAGAGATTGTCCTTTGGACTAAATTTTTTATTTTTTTATTTTTTTTATTTTTTTAAGAATAAGGTACTGTCTGTGATTTTCCTAAAAGGAAACCAGGAACCACAGAAAATAAAGAAAAGAAAAAAGAAAAAAAGGGACCCTTTCACTTATTATCTGATACTTCAACCTTCTAGAAAAACTTTTCCTTCGAAGTTAATTGCCACATTGAGCCAAAGTAGCAGCTATCTTTGACCCTTGGCAACTGGAGCACATGCCCCCTGGTAGACAAAGTAAAAGATCATTTTTCAGCAAATAGCACATTATTCCTAATGGGAAACCAAGTTGTCCTATGAATCCTTTTCTTGTCGATATTTATCTCTCTGAGAGCATCACAACCCTTTTGGCTACGTTAAAACCCTCATTCTACCATAGGTGTCCCATTCATGTAGGGAAGGGAATAAATCTGAAGTGGAGCAGATGTGAAACCTCAATCCCTGCCCTTGTTGCTTAGTCAACAGTTCCCACTTTGAATAAATGCTCGCCTCTTCTGCCTTCTTTTAGGTGGCTGAGCATGGAAAAGACTCATTTGCCTATTCTAACCTACTCAGTTCTCCTCCCAAATGCTAGCCCATTTAGTGTTAAGTAAAGCTGAGCAATGAATATGGCATCATATCATTCCAAATTATTAAAGAATTTAGGTGCTTGAGCCCCTCACTATGTAAAAACCAGGTTGTAGAAAACTTCATGAATGCAAAAAAAAAAAAAAAAAAAGGGAGGTAGGAAAAAGAGTGCTAGTCAGGAAGGCTTCTGGGGAGGTGACATCTGAGCTGAGAACTAGATGAAGGGAAGGAATGGTTTATTGGACTCTTTCAGGGAAAGTGTTCCAGATTGCAGGACAAGCACTAGGGCCCTGAGGTGGCACTATGCTTAGAGTGCCTGACGTTAGGCTTAGCAGGGAGATATGTTTGGCCGTCAGAAAAGCAATAGGAAATAAGGTCAGGGCAGTAACCCGGGGCCAGATCCCTCCAGGCCCTGCAGTCCAAGGGTTTCATTCCCAGTGGTAGGAAAAGTTGTTGAGGGCTGAGAGGAAGGCATGGATGAGGACATGACTTCAGGCGCATGCAAGGGATAATTGAGGAAAAGAGAGCCAAGAAACAAATAATCACTTTAGCAAGAAGGAGGTCATTATTAACTTTTCAAAGCACTTTCTGTAAACTGCTGTGGCAGAAAGGAACTAAGGACTGAATAAGCAGCTGGTGAGATTGGAAAAAGCAGATCAGGAAAGAGAAGAAAGTATGAGAGGTGGTGAAGAAGTCAGAGAAGTGAGGGTCTCTTAGAAAAGAGCTGAGCAAGTTTGAAACTGGTTAATTTTTGAAATATTTGTCCCCAACAGCTTCCATTCTCTGCTAAGCCAAGAACAGGAGGGTCTGTGTGGCCACGTTTCGGTACCTGTTTGTGACAATGCTGTTGCTCCCACTCTCCCAGTCGCCTGGTGCCGAGGTCCTTAGGAGCTTGTTTTTACTTGTATCGAGTGGGACTAGCAGATTGACCATGAGGTTGGCAAAGTGGATGGCCTGACTGAAGACGATGCTCTCCTCCCGCTGCACCAGCTCCTGCTGCGTGGATTTACTCAGCGTCGGCCAGAGGCGGAGCTGCTCGGCCGCCAGGTCCATGGCTGTCTTCTCCTGATGTTGATCATTAGGAATCTTGTCCTAAAAATAAAGCAACACATTCTCTGCTAATCCATCATGAGCTTCAGAAACCATGGAAGATGTTTCCATACTTCATCTATTATATGCTTATATCAGCAAAAATGAAAACATATACACAAAACGTAACAACAACAAAACCAAACCTCGTCTTCCTTTTTACCTTTTTACACTTCTCATTGCTGACATTTCATTGCATTTATTTACCTCTGTGGCTCCATCCCTTTTTAGTTGCACTAGTGGCCAGGTGCACAAAATTCGTACACGTTAAAAGGGAATTAATTAGAGGAAATAATTTAATATTGCTGTTTGCCATTTCTCTTTAATAGAAGTGTCAGAGATGAAAGAAAATCAGTAAAATGTATATGAAAACCTTCCTCCTATCAGAGTCTGGGGCGCATCGCACCCAGAGTCAAATCCCTGCCCACCCACATGCACCTCAAAATTGCATGAGACCCAAACTTGCCACCCCCACCCCCATTGGGGTAGATCCAGACCTGGCCAGTACCACCCCGTTAAGCCCCACCAGGCAGGGGACGTAGCCACAGGTCCCCTGGCCTGGCACCAGGATGGGGGGGGGCGTGGCCTGAGGTCCCCCAGCACAGACCGGAGTGGGGAGCATGCCTTGAGGTCCCCCATCAAGCCCTGTCAGGTGGGAGACATGGCTTGAGATCCCCTGTCAAGCCCCGCTGGGTGGGGGGTATGGCCTGAGGTCCCCCGTCAAGCCTCACCAGGTGGGAAGGGGGTGTAGCCTCAGGTGCCCTAACCCGGCACTGGGAGGTAAGAACAGCCTCAGGTCCCTGTCAAGCCCCACTGGGCAGGGGGCATGGCCTTTGGTCCCATGGCCTGGTGCTGGGGCTGGGGGTAAGGGGGCGTGGCTTGAGATCCCCAGCCTGATGCCAGGGTGTGGGGTGTGGCCTGAGGTTCCCTGTCAAGCCCTACTGGGGCAGGGGAGGGCATAGCCTCAGGTCCCTGCTGATAGCTCATTAAGGCTCTTTATGGGAACTTGGCTTTAGGTATGGGTACAGCCATCTTTGTGATGGAGTCATAGTCAATTAGCATATTCCCTCTTTATAAGATAGGATTATTAACCTGAGTAACTATAAATGCTCAGGTATGATTACTCAAGTATCATTACTAATACCCTTATACGTTTCTTTTCTTCTGTTCTTTTGGAGAAGGAGATGGAATGATCAAAGTCACAATACAGAGCTAGATTTCCTTGTAAATGTAGGTGTCAAACATGAGGATATGGGTGCCTATGGGTGCCTATGGAATTTTTAAGAGGAGTGTCCTGGTAGGGTTAAGAGTTAAACAGTAACATGAACTGACATTTGCATAGTATTTATAGTCATGAACAGCTGGTCTACCTACAATCTCACTTGTATCTAACCTGGGACTCAGAGACAGACTTCTCTAGAATGCAGGACACAGAGCATGTGTTTGCTTTACGAATGCTTTTGAGAGATAACAATGTTAGCATTACAGCTGCTTAAAAAACTACCAAAAGCACTCCACCAGCCCAATTATTTCTGGAACATGACCTCAAACTAATAGTGTTTATCCTTACCCAAGTTCATTTGGTGTTATGAAAGAAAAATCAGATTTTAAATTAAATTCACACCAACAGTGTACAACAATAATCTGGAGCATCAACTAGATGCCAGATAGTGCTATTTGTTATTAAAAGTATTGTTCTTACCATCTTCAATATCACACCAGGCACAGAATATTTGAATACTACTGTGTAGTTTCTGTTAGATATTTCAGTACCTTTATCTCACTAAATAGAAGACCAAATTAAAATAGAGAATGGAAAGGGTCAGCAGCAAGTATTAGCCCAGCATATAAAATGAAAAATTAGTCTTAAAGTGAATCCACATGGACAATTAGGCTTTAATTGGCCTCATTCAATTAATGAGGATGAAAAATTCTAACATTTATTATTTAATACATGCCAGGCACTCTTCACTGTGCTTTACTTGTATTAGACATTACAATCTCATATAGTCATATCTGTTCATCTTACCAATGAGGGAATTAGGCACAGAGGGTAATATGAATTGCCCAAGACCAGATAGCTAGTGAACATTTTAAAATTTCAGAAATATTTAAATTCCTGTTCAAATTAAAAACAAATTGTCTCTGTTCTAAAATATTTAAAAAAAAATGTTATACTGATAAAATATATAGAGCATACAGAATATTACTAAAAGAAGACTTTAATTCATTGTTGGCATTGGCATACTTCTGAGCAGGGCTAATGAATTTGCAATTAACTTGAATTTAACATTTCTTCAAGAATTTAAGGGCACAAAGACATGTACCCAGGTATTTTAGGTGTGTTTGTTCTGTTCAATATACTATAATTGTTTCCAGGGAATTCTTATTATTAAAATACTAGAGGCTTGGTGCACAGATTTGTGCACAGGACGGGTCCCTCAGCCTAGCCTGTGAGGATTGGGCAGAAACTAGCTCTCCAACATGCCTGCGGGATCCCGAATTGCGAGAGGGTGGTTCTCAGGTGACGCACCCTGGAATCAGGCTTCCTCCTCTCTGGTTCCGGGGATGTCTCCCGAGAACTGCAGCTCAGCAGCTCCCTGGTGGTCAGTATACATCATAGCTACCAGTAGGATGGCTGAACAGTCGGCCTTCCACTTAGGCTTTTACATATCTAGATAATAAAATAACTCTAATGCTAAAGAATTGTACTGAGAACTTATTACAGAAAAGAGAAAGAGAGAGAGATAGAGACAGAGAAAGAGAGAGAGAGAGAGAGAGAGAGAGAGAGAATGTTAGAAATCAACAAAAGAAAGATGTTCACCACAGCGCTCCCTAAGTAAACGCCAAACACATAGGTAGGAAAGTGACTAGATTTCCTTTTTCACCGGGGACATTTCAATACATTTTCCTTGAAGCCAAGATCCCGACCCACACATGCACCTTCTTCCAACTCTCTTACCTTCTGCTTCAGATACAGGGTATGATTGTCTTCCTTGGCTGAGAGATACAGGGAGCGAACTTGTTCCTGCACTGCATTGTAAAAGGTTGTCTCCCAAAATTGCTGATTTGTCCAAATGGGGTGGTCTTGCACACAGGTGTAAGCAAACTGGCTGACTCCGGGGGCCAGTTTCTGTGAGAACACACAATATGAAATCTATCACCATGGGAGCTGGCAGAGCTGTGACAGTTTTGAAGGTTACAGGGGCCACAGTTAACCACAGATGTGCTCAAATGACATATCTAAACAGTATCTTATGGCAGTATAAGCTTAGCAACTAGTAACTTACTTTAAAAAATGTTTTTATTGATTTCAGAGTGAGGAAGGGAGAAGGAGAGAGAGATAGAAACACCAATGATGAGAAAGAATCATTGATTGGCTGCCTCCTGCATGCCCCCTACTGAAGATGGAGCCCACAACCTGGGCATGTGCCCTGACTGGGAATTGAACTGCGTGGCCTCCTGGTTCATGAGTTGATGCTCAACCCCTGAGGCACACCTGGTAGACAACTCATTCATTTTTTAACTGGCAACTTCGGGCTTACTAGAAAACCTTTTCAGATCTCAGTCACTTTATATAGCAAATGAACATTTTAGCAAAAGCTAAAAAGGAAAACTATTATATGAATTAGAGACTAAGCACATAGTAGGCACTGTAGAGTTGGAAGCTTTATTACAATTAGAACACATAAAATCCATTGCAACCAAATTATAAAACTCCAGATAATTTAAAATTTCTTCTACTTGTTTTTAGAATACCTTTTTTTTTTTTTTTTTTTTGGCGGGGGGGGGGGAAGAGATGCAGGGGGAATGGCACTAATTGATATGTGAGTAAGCATACAGCTTGGTCTTGCACACAGAATGAGGTCATGTCATGAACTTGGGACTCAGGAGTAATTGCACCCTCCCTGCCGCTCACTCTAGTCCTTGACCTCACCACCAGGCTGTTGTCTGGCTCACATACTCCCTAGCGACTGTCCTGGCTTCAAGGGCATTTTCTGGTAACCGAGTCTGGGTACAGGAAGTTAATCTTGAACCAAACCTTCCTTTCCAGGACTTCCTGCTGGGCTTTGGAGTGGCAGTCAGCCTTATTCTGTGATTAACAACAGAGGGAAGGAAAACTAACTCTTGCAGGCACTAGAGGAACTTCATAAATATTTATATATCTCATTTAATACTAAAAATCTTATAAGGTGTGCATCATTATTATTGCCAATTTAAGGAAAACAGAAGTTCATGGAGGTTTAAGTAGTTGCCCAAGGTCATATAACAATTACATAAGTGGTGGTTTCAAGGGCAGACTTGGCTGGTTCCAAAGCCCCTGCATTTATGATACCAAATCGTCTTGCAAAGGAATTGGAAGCAAATCACAAAACACATTAAATACCAATTAGCATTGCTGCTTGTTCCTTTTTCCTGCACTTTAAGATTTTGTTTCCCAAAATAATATTCTGCCTTGACATCTTTGATACGATTTCAAATTGATAATGCATTTTATTATATGTGAATTTTTATGAGTTTATGTGAGTCAAAATGATGACATATGCCGAGAAGCAAGATCTCAAATACTCCCTGCATTTAAATTTCACAGGTAATTTACATTGCTGAATTTCAGTTCATGATTTGAGTATCTTTTCACAGCTATTGCTTTCACCTCTAAAAGTTGAAAGATGTTTCAACATTTTTTATTCTATCATTTCTCAGCAAACAGCAGGTAGCATTCTTAATTGTTAGACACTTTTTGTCCATTTTATTCTCTGGAATTGAGTTCATCTTTTTTTCTGTCAGTAGAACTAAAGTTTCTGATAATGAAAGTTTTCTTTTGAAGCATTTTAATAAGCATACTAAATCCAGAGCTGGAACAGGCACCAGGCATACCATAAAATGAGGTACCTGAGTAGTTAGCAATGGTGTGGTTAAATCAATTTGCCTATGAGAATCCATGTACTTCTCTATCCCACATTTAAGTCCCTTTCAAGATGGGATGTGGGTTACACTTTTTTTGCCCCTAAGCATTCTAAGAACTAACAATGACCTTATAGCAGCACACAAGGCTATTTTGCCAAGGGAGATTAAAGGCACAAAACTCAAGATAAAAGCATAATTCTCAACTGTCTTTCCCATGAAGACAGTCAGAGGCAGCATCATTTCTTACAAATGCAAGGTCACATAAGCAGTTCTTAACATTTTAGAGTTCTAAAATTATGTTAGTATAGATAAGCTCAGAAAAAGCTCTTAACAAATCCACATCAAGCTCTCATTTAAAGTGCTTTTTAGAGTTTTCCACACACAGAAGTTATTAATTATAAATCTTATTACAACTTGGCACTTCTGCAGAAACCAGAGAGCACACCACAGCCCTGCCTTTCTCCTTCAGCATTTTTCTTACTGATGCTGCATATTCACTTTCCTTGGCACGGACCAGTTATTATCTTCCTGTTTATTTACAAACTAAAAGTGCATATGAAAAAACTTGCTTAAATCTTTTGAACAAGAGTGAACTGTATATGTTCCTAGGTGGAAACATGGTGTAAAAGAGAGTGACAGTAGCCCAAAGGGTCAGAACCCACAGCTTGTTTACTTGGGAAGAATTACAAGCAGGGTGAAGTGGTTAAGGATAAATACTTGTTGGTGGCAAGACAGTCACAAATGACCATGGCATCTTAGACATGCACACAAATCATTAATTCCAAAATACTCAAAATATTACCATTTTTTCAAACATGAAATCTGCCTGTTTTCTTTGTGGTTTCCTGATGTGCCTTTTCAACTGCATGCATGGAGCACTGTGTCCCTGGCCATGAGAGGGGGCAGAGCCCCGGCACTGATGAACAGGTGTGTTCTTCGGACCAGCAGGGGGCAGTGGCACCTCATTCTGCCTAGATTCCATCAGGGCTTCAGAAAGGAATGCAAAAATGGAACTTTGCAGTCTGGCTGGGCTAGAAAGTGGGCGGTGAGCTGAATGCTGCATGTCTTCACTGTACACTTGAGAGACCATATAAAGAAAATGGATTTACCCAAGGTCACCCAGCAAGATGGGTAGAAGAGAAAGGAATAGAAATAAGGGATTCCATTATTCTCCATCATTTTTTTTTTTTTTAAGGTACAAAAATTAAGATATTTCACAAAACAAAGGCATGGTATAATTATCTAGAGAAAAATGCAATGAGCCTATTTAAGGTTTCAGATTCAGTATATCCTGTTATAGTAGTAGTTGTTTTAGGAAATAAAGAAAATAAGCTTCTGTGGATAAAACTATCTTCCAATTTTAATCACTTCTTTGGTTTGAAGAAAAAACTTTGCCAAGATGTTTCTCATAATGGCCCGCACTCCAGCTTCATGAGCTTTAGTGCATAAGGAGACTCAGTCTACATGCAGCATGGGGAGCAATGGTGGTAGGGAATGCTGTCAAATGACATCTCTCCCTCCAATGTTGGCAAAAGTATTTATCTTACATTTCATAATGATTCTTATGATTCTGTCCTAAAGAAAGAAGTAATATTTTGCCATGCAATTTTATGAAGTCAACACAGTCTTAAAAGAATGTTTAAGAATGTGTTAACTTCTTTCCTTATCTAGAAGAAATAGCTTCAAATGTACTAGATTAAGTAATGCCATTCATTTTCCACAGAACATTGAAAGGAAACCCAGCATGAGACAGGATATGGAGAATAAACTCATGGGCTCACCAACAAGCAGGACAGATTCAAATCCAAATAAGTGGACACAAATAATCTCAGAGATGAGTTGGGCAAGGGAAAGGTTAACATATTGGTGTGAGAGGCCTGTCTATGGCTAGATATGTTTGCTCTCCAGGCCCAAGGCTCCAATTAGGGAGCTCAGATACAAATCAGATTTCAGGGGGAAAAGCTAGCTGGTGGGATTGATTCCATCCCAATATATAAAAAGCCAGGGGCTGTTATGACGGAAACATCTGGATGGACGACTAAACACAGGCTTTGTGGGCAACAAGGCTGGCAGGGGGTTAGTGAAGGACGACCAAATAACTGAACAGCAGGCTGTGTGGGGTGACCAGGCCAGTGGGGTGGGGGACAGTTGGGGGTGACTAGGCCGGCAGGAGGGGCAATTGGGGGCAACCAGGGCAGCAGAGGGGAGCAGTTGGGGGCAACCAACCTGCCAGGGGGGGCAATAAGGGGTGACCAAGCTAGAAGGGGGGGCAGTTGGGGGCGGGCGGGTCGGCAGGGGGGACATTTAGGGGTGATCAGGCAGGCAGGCAGGTGAGCAATTAGGAGCCAGCGGTTCCAGATTGTGAGAGGGATGTCCTGGATTAGAGAGGGCACAAATTTCATGCACTGGGCCTCTAGTAAATATACAATGTTCTTAAAGAACAATGCAGAATACAAAGATTCACTGTGTAAGTTGCTGAATATTTCCTATCCATTCTGGCTCTGGAATAAACACATGTACCTTATTGTATAGTTCAGGAGTGGTGCCAGCCATCCTTTATGATTCTACACTGGTCCGACCAAGTTTGGATGCTAAGTCACTTTAGGAATTAATTTCTGAGTAGTTTCTGATGAACATTGAAAAGTGCTTAGTCTTGAGAGACAAACAAAAGGAAGAAAGAAATAGAAAAAATATCTATCTACAACCTATATTTGTCAAATCTTAAACATGCTTTCTTTGATTGGAGTCCGCCGTGTACCTGTCTTGATCCCATTTCCCTCCTCTCCTAGAGGAAGCAATGATCCTAAATTAGGTATTTTTCATTCCCATTATGTTTTTTTTTTTTTATCAGTATATATTCATAAAGAATATATATAGGATTATACTGCAGGTTTCATTTACCCCTTATTGAAATTTTTCAAAGTATACAACTTATGTAATTTTAAATTAATCTATGCAATTAATTGGGACAAAACACAACTGGCTCTTTGTAAACACAACTCAGAAGAAGAAGAGAGTGGCCTAGAAACAATGTATATTTAGGATAGTGTGTGGATTAGCCAGTGGGATTTAGAGAACAGTGAGTAATCCAATTCGTTAAGCCGAGGAGATAGTGAAAAAGTAAATTTTCCCTGTTCTACTACCTGACACTCTAAGACTGAACAGTGCAAGCAACCTCAAAGTCATGATCTATACCTTTGCTGGGATGCTTAGAAGAAACATTCA